GCAGCAGTGTGGGTCTCTGTGTGTGTTCAGATAAGTTTGGGTCTGAGTGTGTGTGTGTTCACAACGGTGTTTCTCACCTCCACCTCAGGGCTGGTCAGGGCATGAAGGCTGGAGCCTGGCAGGGCCCCGGGGCCAGCACAGCGGAGTCTGTCAGGATCTGTGATGAGTGTTCACATCAAGGTCCTCGCTGATTACTGCTGTCCCTGTACTGCTCAGCGCACGACACGAGCACCTGCGCAGCCGCCACGCTCCACCTGTCAGCACAGATCTCGTTTTGCTAACTCCCTGACCTCTACACCATCCATCCTCTACAGCGTACCCTTGACTCTGACCAGATGATTTACTAAACACCCTGCCTCAGTGTGCTGCCCCACCTGATGAAACACTTCTCTGTGTGTCCCCGGGCCCTAGGAGCACAGTGTAAGGGCTCTGCAGGTCATTTACTATGTACTGTACTCTCAGCTGGATTCTTGGGCCTGATAACTTATCACCAGAACATGACGTTTATAAATTACAGTTTCAGGCAGTTTGCTGCTGAATTCATCTGTGCCATTATTCCTATTATATATCACACTGTTGATAAAGTTTATTCAAAGAGACAGTAGCAACTGGTGAAACTTTTTACACAGAAATCTAAAAACAGGATATCTTTCTGCCTGTTTAGAAATTTTCTGATGGTCGTTGTTCTTAGTTGTAGTTTTGGTTCAAGGTGAGCAGCTACCTGTCTGTACCAAAATGCAGAATGTGGAGTGTCTGGTTAAATTGACTCTAATGTTTTGGCACCTCGGCGCCACTTTGTTATCAGGACTGTGGAAAAAAAAGACAGAAAAAGCTGAGATGTGTGGCATCCCCCTTCAAAATACAAAGCAGTATGTGGCTTATCGTCGTCTCAGTATTGTAGTTTGTGCCATATTGCTATCATTTACTTGTTAGCCTCGCATAACAACAGTTGCTTTTGGATTAAAGGGATATTCCGGCATAAAATTAAGTGAGTGTCAAACACACTGTAACACTGAGTTAGACACCCCGTCGAGAGAGAAATGTTGCAGACTGCTTGCTACTCTAGTTATACCAACTTTGGTAACGACCACAGATAGCAATACACAAAGCCAGGCACTCAACCAAAAAGCCACTCTATAGCCACAAATAATGCTCAGAACAGCACCTAACTTCATCAACAGTACATATAGGGTCCCAGCCATAGTACTAGCCACCAAATGTCTTTTTAGCTTTGCCTGATTTCTGTAGCAAAGAGACTAAACACAAGTCACCTACTCTCTTCCAGCAGCTGCTTGTTTGTACGAAGACTCCAGGCGAGTCCATTGACTGGTGCGGGGTGACACAGTTCAAGGAAGAACATTTATGATCATTTCTTTATCATTTCCTTGAAGTAATAATCACCATGGTAATCAGTTTGCGCTGTAGATGCGGTAGCTCTTCTGCCTTAGTGTCTCAGTCCGATTGCATTTCCATGAAGAAATGATCATAAATGTTCTTCCTTGAGCCCGCTATAGTCGATGGACTCACGCAGAGGTCTCCGTACAAACAAGTGGCTGCTGGAAGAGAGTAGGTGAGTTGTGTTTAGTCTCTTTGCTAAAGAAATCAGGCAAAGCTAAAAAGATGTTTGATGGCTAGTGCTGTGGCTGGGACCCTATATGTACTGTTGATGAAGTTAGGTGCTGTTCTGAGCATTATTTGTGGCTATAGAGTGGCTTTTTGGTTGAGTGCGTTGCTCTCTGTATTGCTATCTGCAGTCGTTACCAAAGTTGCCTACACCTTTAAACTTCTCAAACTCACAAATTTCCTAACTACAGTTGGGATTTAACACAGCATTTACTTTGTCAAACACTTTAGAAAACATCCTTTTAATCTAGATTCGATTTTGAGAACAGTTTCTGAATTTAGCTAGCATAGCAGTTTGTTTGTTTTTCTTCACAAAGTGGTTAAACCAGATAAGCTAACAGAATCTGTGTTTTTAACTCACCAGGGATACAAACAGTAAACACTTGACAGAAACCAGTCTCAGCTGATCACAGGTTAGATTCCCTACAGAGAAATAGCTTTTATTTAGCTTTTACTTAAAGAAATAAGTCAAACTTTCAAGACTATTTTCAGGCGTTTCAGTTCTAACTTGTTCTCAGCAACAACACAGTAACAGTAACATAGTCGTAAAGCACCACATAGGATAGTTTGTCAAACAATGCCATCATTTCTTTTCCAGGAACACAGAGTACTCTTCTCATATTGCAATTTTTAATGCTGCTTAAGCTGCCATAGCTAATCTTTTTCTTATCCATGCCTCCAGCTGTTCCACCAAACTATCCATCACCATCATTACTATCATTAGCAGCTCTGTCCTATCAGGCAGGTTCTGCTTTGTGCGGAAAAGAAGCTGGTGTTCGGCTCAAGTTGACAAGAATAGAGACAGTGCAAAGATGTGAGTCATAACAGGCGATATCTGGCAAAGCTGCTGTGTTTGTTGGGGTGTTTTAACATGCTGGTGTGGGTTTGTGTGTGTGTGCAGAGAGCAGATTTAAATGTGTGTACGATGTGTGGGTGTGAGCCAGCAAGGAAAAAGAGGATAATGTCTGTTTATGTTGGAAGGCTTGCTGTTTTTTTAGATGATAATAGTTAATAATGATGCTGTGCATGAAATGGTGTGAAAATGTGCACAAACACTGAGTTCATGTGAAATATTTTACACCTCAGAGTGCTGCTGTCTTATCTGAGTCAAGTCAGCGTGTTTGAGAGAGATTATTAAGAGTGACCGAATAAAAGTGCAGGTTTGTCGTCTCTGTGGCTTTAATGAGGTAGCAGGGGAGCATCATGTGTGATAGACTGCACTGAGTGGTCAGATTTTTAAGTTCTGAGATATGCTAATTTACAACCATCTCATAAATACAGCCTATCACCAGCGTCCTCCCAGAGGCCTGCTGTTGCGGCTCAAACGTGTCTCTCAGCGCCTGCTGTCTAACACTCTATGCTTGAGTTATTGCACTGTGGTCCCTGATCACGGGACTACATTATGATTGCACCATTACCTACACCTGAGTGCTCCATCCACCTGCAGAAATGGACCAGGGTCGTCTGACGTCCTAGATAGAGGCCGCCGCGATGTCCCTGGAGAGCGATAACTGACAGCTCTATAATGGAACAAACTATACGAGACAAACATGACATGAATACTGTGGATAATAGACCACACCTGATGCATCACTGATAGTCTCTGCATGGAAATGTAGATATTACAACCCTTTTTCTTCTTCACATTGAAATTTTACACCTTAACTCATAAAGTAAGATGATCATTTTTTCCCAAACTCCAGCTTGACTTGATAGAAAGTGACTGACAGTCCCTTTGTTACACTGATTATCCAACATCATGACATTATTATTGTAATGACACGTTATCTTTTAAGAGTTGTTTTTGTTGGTAGTGGCTCATTGGTTGAGCGGGTCATCTTTCAGATAGGAGAGTGGTGGTTTAATCTCAGCTTTTAAGTCACTTTTGTGGACATGCTGTTTCACAAAGTCTTCTGACACTAATCAGAACAATTACATTGCTGTCAAGTCATTCTGGGAATTAAGTGGTTGTTGTCCCACATTGATTAAACCTACAGCGCTAACAGCACCACATTTTGGTGCTTCCATTATGGCCAGCAGGTTTTGAATAATGATATCTGCCTACACTTTGTATAAATGTATACATGTTGACGATTTATATTTATATATTATTATCATGTTTATTAGTTACAAGTTGGCTCATAGTCATACTCTACAACTAGAAACCCTAATTTGAGGGTTGTTTCTCAATAAACTCTCAATAACAGCTCATTAAAAGCAATGAAGGAGCTTGTAGTGGTTTACTGGTTGTACAATACGGTCATGAATAATAAGCTCTTTGTAATGATTAATAAAGACCGAACTTGCAATTAATAAACATGCCATTAACGAATGAATAAATGGTTTACATGTGTACACTAATATAATATGTTATCAGTCATTTTTAGTCTTACAAGTATTTTACATCTGTAGTTTTAATCTGATTATTAGAGTAGATTTAATTTTCTAACGTCATGTAAATAAACTGACTCTGGCCACATAAAGATATAGGTGTTAGGTTAAATAGGGTGCATAATGTATGTCTGAAATTAGTATGAAAAAAAAACATAGACCCAAGGATGTTAATGATGTCTAAACTTTCATTTCGCCCTTTCAAGGTCTGTAATTAACCTGAAGGGGACATCTCCAAATGTTATGGTCTAAACTTAGATTCTGAGCTGTAGGGCGCTGTCCATTGGTTGTCTCATCATTGACACTAACAAGACGTCTACAAAAGAATGACATAATGAAATGAAATTATAAGTGCCTTAAACAGACCAAATAAAAACTTTTCTTTTGACTCTTCATGGACTGTCTTGTGGTCATCCAATATCAGTCTTTGTTTAGTGGGAGGTTCTGAGGATGGAGTAGGATTTGAGAGACAACAACTCCGACCAGATTAGGAGCTGCCCTTAAAAACATCCAGGTGTTTCTAAAATGGTTAACGATCATCTGATGATTTCCTGCCGACACTGACTTTTTTGTGCTCACTCAAATGGATTGTGTAATATTCCCCTGACAATACACAGAAGATAAAGACTTCAAAGATTAAACTAGGTCAATAGGGCATGCACGAGGTCAAGCTGATACTCAATTTTTGGTAGATTAAAGGATTTCAGGGCTGCTGGTTGAGGTCAGTCAATAAAGTAGTCACCTCATGTGTGAAAGATTTAGTCCTCAAAGCAAAGTCACAGGTTTGACTCTTTGTCTTGACCCTTTGATTGATTTATTGTTTCTTCAGCTATCCTGTCAGATAAAGGCTCAGAAACCTCCAAAATAAATCTGATTTTTAAAAAAAGGCTTTTGTAAATGTCCCACTGTGTGTTGTCATATATTAAAGTTGTGGTCTTTCTGTCTTTTTTCTGTCTCATGCCAAGGTTCCCTTGAATGACTCTACCATGGACCACATCATCTGCTGCCTGCTGGTCCTTGGAGCCACAGTGATGATCACTCAAGCATGTCCCAAGTACTGTTCATGCCAGAATCTGTCTGAGTCTCTGGGGACACTGTGTCCCTCCAAAGGCCTTCTGTTTGTGCCTCCGGACATTGACCGCGGCACGGTGGAGCTCCGACTGGGAGGCAACTACATCCTCCGCATCACGCAGCAGGACTTTGCCAATATGAGCGACCTGGTGGACCTGACCCTCTCCAGGAACACCATCAGCTATATCCAACCCTTCTCTTTTGGTGACCTAGAAACACTGCGGTCTCTTCATATGGATAACAACCGCTTGATGGAGCTAGGCCCTGACGACCTGCGAGGTTTGGTCAACCTGCAACATCTCATCCTCAACAACAATCAACTGAGACGGATTCATGATAAGGCCTTTGAGGATCTAGCACCAGCCTTGGAGGACCTCGATCTCTCCTACAACAATCTGATTTCCATCCCATGGGACTCAGTCCGTCAGATGATTAACCTGCACCAACTCAGTCTGGATCACAATCTGTTGGACTTTATCCCAGAGGGAACCTTCACTGACCTAGAAAGGCTTGCACGATTGGACCTTACCTCAAATCGTTTGCAGAAATTACCCCCAGACCCGATCTTTGCCCGCGCCCAAGACTCGATGATCCTGACTACCCCCTATGCTCCGCAGCTGTCTTTGAGCCTGGGTGGGAACCCGCTGCACTGCAACTGTGAGCTACTTTGGCTTCGAAGGCTTGAGAGGGATGATGACTTAGAGACTTGTGCTTCTCCTCCTGCCCTCAAGGGACGTTACTTTTGGAATTTGAAGGAGGAGGAGTTTGTGTGTCAGCAGCCTCTCATTACCCAGCACACCCACAGGATGCTGGTACTGGAGGGCCAGACGGCCAGCCTGAGGTGTGAAGCAACTGGAGACCCCCCTCCTACCATCCACTGGATCTCCCCTGATGATCGACTGCTTGGCAACTCCTCCCGAACTTCAGTGTTCAGCAATGGCACCCTGAGCATCACTATCACCACCTCCAAGGACTACGGCACCTTCACATGCATTGCTGCTAATGTTGCCGGGGAGTCCACCGCTCCCGTAGAGGTGTCCATTGTCCAGCTCCCTCACCTCAGCAATGGCACTGGGCAACCATCGGCGCCAAAGTCCCGCCTCTCTGATATCACAGGCACTACCAGGATCAGCAAGGGGGCTCCTAAGAGCCAGCCAGAAAGGACTGTGTCTGTGTCTGAGGTGACGGCTGTTTCAGCATTGGTCACCTGGACAGTCAGCAAGTCAGCCCCCAAAGTGAAGATGTACCAGCTGCAGTACAACTGTTCCGACGATGAGGTGCTGATCTACAGGTAAACACTTTCATGTTTCTGCTGCCCTCTTCATTTATGATGGGAATTCAATAAGTCCAAATAGTAAGAGGGTCATTGGTTGATAGATGTGGGATGAGCTGGGTCAGTTTCAAACAAAGACCAAGTAAATTCCAAGTTTTATTCAAACATGTAATACTAGGAAAGAGTTTACTTGTGGAGGTTAACCCTTTCAGGACAAAATATGCAAAAAAGAAATCTACCATAAGCTTGAATGGTTGAAAACAAACAGGCCTAAAATAAGAGTGATTATTGGACAACTCATAAAAAACTATAGACTATTACGTAGCCCCTAGTTTGCAAGACATACCACAGTGTAAATAAGCTTGTAATTATAACTTGTTAACTTCTTTCCGTTCAGTTCTTACTTTGACATGTGATATCTGGACATTAATCATTTTTCTGGATTTGTCAGGGGAATTTGGCCTAAATTAAGGAAACAAGACAAAAACAAAATAATTGAAGTTGACTATTTAGAGTTGTTTCATACTGTATTTAGGCTGGATGTAGTTTTATATACATTGTGTTTGTTGTAAGCCTAATCTTGAAACAAGCAGAGACAGAAATCAGTGTTATAGTTAAATTTTAATGCTTTTTGGCATTTTAGAGGGATCCACTCAGGCTCCTCTGTCTGCTTTTACCATTGGGTTATTTGTCAGCAGACAAAAACAACTCTTTTCCCTTATTCAGCTCTAAACATTGCTCTGTGCTTTATTGAGCTCAGTTGCACTCAGCAGTCCAGAACCAGGAAGATTTCTCTACAGAAGGCAGAGGACTCTCAGCCCATCAGAGTTTGCTGGAGATAAACTCTAACAGGGACTTGTTTTACATCACCTCAGCCCCTTGAACAAGTGCAAAACCAGCCAGAAAAAATGCAATTACTTACGGCAATTAAAATAAGTGAAAATTGCGAAACTAAGCTGTAGCCTCAGGGTCAGCCCACCTCTTATTTCCTTTATTATAAGGCAAATTGTATGTCTATTTTTTCCCCACAAACATGTAGAATGAGTGTATTTTGTGTAATTATATAGTGTGACTCCTACAAATAGCCATGTAATACCAGTAATTCTTTACAGCTGATCGTATAATACGTTCCTGCATGAATCACTCCCATTTTAATCAACATTTTCAACATAATTATGCAAAGGATTGTATAACTAAATAGACACTATTCATTTTATGCAAATTGTCAAACAGCATATGCTCCGAGCTGAACAGTACGTATAGAAATGGCAGCTGATGCAAATAGGGGCCTGAATTAAAAACACTTTATGCATGCAAATAAGGTTTTACAGAGAAGTGGGTAGAAATTGAAGTGAATTTGAAAAGTGTGGGAGACTAAGGTAGCAAACAGTGAAATCAATTACATTCTGCTCAGGTTGACAAAAGTTTTTAATGCTCTACGCTAAATTACTCCTATCTGCTTAATAATCTCCCAAAGGAAAAACACCATATTTTGTGTATCTTGTTCCTCGATGGGGAGTTCAGGTACTCAAGTTCATTTTTTACAGAATCCAAATAACTCAAAAGATGGTTGCAAGGTAATCCTTGGTGCTTAAGATATTAAAAATTCAGGACACACAAACAGTATCAGAGAAGATCTAATTATGATGCTGCGTGTTTAGTCTTTATTTATGTGTGTAGGTTGTCAGCAGGTATGTTAGCAGATAGCAGGTGTGGACTGTCAAATGAGATCAGGTGAGAAAGATGATTTAAAAAAAGAGGGAACTAATAAAGAGAAAAAAAACAATGAATTGGAGCAAAGCAATAGAATATAGAGGTTTAAACCCGAATGCGAACTAGTGAGCGTGCTCAGAACGTTCAGCCCAGTTTGGATCTAATTGAGCTATATGCATGCAAGAGAAATAAATCCATACACTTCAACAATGAATACGATTTCTAATCTATAGTGAACCCAAAGTCTAGTCATATAAGACATTATAAAGTGTTCCCTCACAGTGAAAACAATTAGAGTCTACTTCTACCATTACTCATCAGCTGGACCAAATTTTTGACAGTGTTGATTCAAATGGTAAGTTTGGATCCAGCGCAGCAACTGAGTAAGACAAAAACACATTTAAAAGGATTTGTAGTGCAAGTTGTTGAAAATTTTTTTTTCTGTTATCCCTGTAATAATAAATAATAATAATAATAATAATTCATTTTATTTGTACAGTGCTTTTAAAACAGAGACAAGAAAACAGTAAAATAAAACAGTAAAATATTAAAAGCAATTTTAAATAAGTGAGTTTTTAAAAGGGATTTGAAGGTAGTGGGGTCAGGGCGGTGTCTCATGGAGGGTGGTAGGGAGTTCCAGATGGTAGGGGCAGCTGTGAAGAATGCATATCGCTAAGAGCTGCATCTTACAGAGAGAAAAACAGGGATTTTTTTACTGAAATCTGCTGAACCCACTTTCAGTGTCAGCTGAAGATGTCTTGAGATAAGAGCTGAAATAAAAGGAAGCTAGAAAATAAATTAAGAAGTTAAAAATACCTGCATTAAATCCAGGGGGATTTAGCTTCACGCTGCAGTTCGAGTGTGATGTTCCACCTTAATGAATGCAGCCTCAGTGCTGTGAATTGTTCTGAAATGTAGCCTGAAATGTTTCACAGATCGATCCACGAAAGCAGTGTTGAATTCAAGAGAGCTGAGTAAGTCTCCTGAATGAGAGAAAAACAATTTATTAAAGTTTAGATAAAAGTTCAAGTTTGGAAATAAGCCTGTAGCTGCTGAGAGTCAACGGATCATCTCAGCTGTGTCCTACTAGTGTTCACATGAGGTAAGAGTCTTCAGCTGTTTCCTCTTCAGACGCTCTAGCTGGAGGACAAAGTTATTACCGCTCCATGATTGGCACGTTGTTTCTTCAAGTTAAAGGTTTGACGTGAAGCTTCCTTGTGAGGGCCCGAGGGCCTCTCACTCACTCACTCACTCGAAACAGAGCAGACTTTTTTAAACATGTGTCGTTGGCAGGTGGGGGAAAAAGTGTTATTCCTGAAAAGTGAGCTGTTGGGAGATTTTTCCAAAGTTTGTGAATGTGCAAGGCCAAGTAAAGAAGCCCACAAGTGACACGTAATCAGGTACTGTAGATGGAGTGGTAACACTTTACGATAACCATAATTTATAAACGGTTAATAGATAGTTTATTAATGTTTAATCATCATTTAAAAACAGCTTATAGAACAATTATAAATTGCAAATAGATAGTTTATTAATGTAAGTTAATAGTTACCTTACCATTACCAAGCAATGAAATTATGATTAATAATTTTTTATTTTTTTTATCAATTATTAATAGACTATTTATTAAAGGTTTATATAGGGTTTAAATATTGGTTGTATAACATCTAGATTAAAATGTGTGTCAGCAGCACTTTGTAAATGGTAAATATTTGTTTTTTAAACCATCTATAAACATTACTGTGATGAAGATTATAAAGTTGCAACTAATGTTTGTAGTACTTTGTAAATGATTAATAAGTGGTTTATAAACCACCTATAAACATTACTTAGATGGTTATTGTAAAGTCAGGGTTAGGGTTAGGTTTTTAAAATTGTAAAATTTACAATGTAGAATGTAAACATGCTGACCGTTTTAATTCACTAAGTCAAAAGTGCCATTCAGTGGTCAGGTAACGATGACAGCGGCCTCTGCTGGATCAGATGGTGAGCTTCTGCAGACAACCTGGCATGCTGATAAAAACATTTTGTTTTTTTAATTCAAATCGTTCATTACAGTAACGTTTTTATAGGTGTTTTATTCAACTCATACTAAATGGTTGTGATGAATTTAAATAGAAAAAGTCCCTGTAAGAGTCCCCTTGTTATTAGAGGTCTACCTGGTAACAATATAATAACTATATACATTTTTATTGAGTTTCTAATGATAATGAGTAAATAATCAAAGAGAAACTACAAGTGCCAAAAAAGAAACCCCACCGTTGCCCAAGCATTTAGGGAAATATCAAGAAATTATGACCAGATTATTTGAATAAGTAACACTAACATGGATGAGGTTTTTATGCCATGATGTAAGAGTAATGTTAAAAAGCCAATTGTTGAATAAAAGTGCAGTTCAATAGCTGATTAACCTGACAATTGTTTCGATGGGTGCTTGTTGCAGCCCTAAATTTATTTTGACGCTCTGAATTTGAAAGAACAGATGCTCGATCATGGAAATTTTGGCTCCTGTGAGCTGTAATCATATCCACACCACGACTCTGTTGAAAGAGAGCTTACTCGCAGGTACATGATGGCTCCATGCAGGTTTACACGCTGCTTCATCAAACACATACTGTAACACGAACCACAGTTTCAGCATGTCTTCCTCTCCCTAATGCATTCATCTATTACAGTGAGATGGATGAGGATGTTTTACAGCATCCAGGAGATATTCAAGGGTATACGCGGAGACAAAAAAATGTCACGGCCCATTTAATCCTTCGCAGCACAGCTGCACTCTGCGAGGACGTCGGGGATTTTGATTATATAAGCATAATCAAATCTCTCTCAGCGTCACACCCATGTTTACGCTGAGTCAGTGGGGCAGGAGACCGTTTGTCGTGACCTTGTCTGCCCAAGTCCACGGAGAGACGCTTCAAGAAATCAATAGAGATGATGCATAACGTCTCAGCTGAAAAGAAAAAAAAACACGCAGAGTTTAAAGCTTGTGGATAAGAATGATGCTGCATGTAGGGTAGATCTGTTTGTTTGTTTGTCAGCTCTTTCTTTAAACTAAGAAGAAAGGATAATAAAACTCTTCATAATAAATCTCTCGCAAAGCTTAAAGAAGCCAAAACTAAGAGCCAATCTCCTCCTAGGTCTCTTCTTTTTCTCTCTGATTAATGCTGCAGACCACATGAGCACAGGGAGCTGAGCAGGACACTCCACAAATTGCCTTTTCCAGCCTGCAGGGGCGTCGAAAAACTTTTATCTCCCTGTGATAAGCACAGGCATGTGTTCCTCTGGACTCTGCTTTATTCTTATGAATTAACTGAATTAACTCGTCTATGCAGACAACCTGGAATCAATTAGACCCAGACACCAGAGCGAGCAGCACCAGTCCCAGGCAACCAATTAAAGCAGAGTAATGAAATGGAGCAAGTTTTCGGAGAAGAGGAACTTTTCATTAGAAAGCAGCCTCTTTGTTTGAGCTGTGTAAAATAATTGGAAGAAAAAGGAAAAGCTGAAGTTATGATCCTTGTGTATGATCTCAGCTGCAGAAAGTTTCGTCTTGCAGGGCATGTGGGGTAAATTGGGTAGTCATGAAAAGTATGTGGTTGCACTTGCATTAATTTAATGGGAACAATTTCTGCACCTTGAGGGAGATCAGCAGTATTTTTCAATCTGTACCCTGTTTTTACATAACTATAAATGGTCCAAGTAGGCCTCAGCGTAAATGATCACAATATATTTTGTCATATCGTCCGATCTCGATTATTATCACGATTTATTTTTTAACTGCCAGTTTTAAAGTATCTGTACTAAGAACTAAAGAAACTAGAGATTAGTTCAACATTTTTTAACATACAAAGTAAATAACAAAGCAAATTGAATAAAATAAACTTCGAAAAATATAAAAAAATGTTTTAACTCAACAGAACAACAAATGTAGATAATTACTAAATAATACAGTGAATTAGTTTACTGTCCTGAGTGTTTTTGCAAGTATGCAAGACCCAAATTAAACAAATCGCCCCCTCAGAGATAATGAAGACGCCTTAAAATGTAAACATTAGATGATGTAAACAACAATGATATGATTGATTGCTTTGGTCTGGTGGCTGCACCGCTCGTTGTGGCTAAACTGCTAACGCTACTCGTGCCGTTAGCAGTGGCAGGCTGTGGAGACTCCGCTCACATTTTTGTGCTTTCCGCATAATCATCCCGCAACTACTTCTTCAAATGATTAAACATATTTGTTGTGTAGCCGGTTTTTGAGGGCAACGATTGACATACCTCGCTCATCGGCTTAATTACTCGACGTCACTTTGGAGTTACCCGAACCGCCGCCACCCAACCGACGTTGAATAACTTCTCAACAATAACACCTTCGGAGGATGACTCAAAGTCACGGCTGACATCTATTTTGCTGCCCTCAGCTCCGCGTTTAGCTCCATGTTCAGTCATTCTGTTTACTTCTCCTGTTTACTTCTCCGACAACTTACAGAAGTGAGCAGGAAAAGCTCGACTCTGATTGGCTGTTGTGATGCACACTTCTGCTATGCTCACGGCTGATCACCGTGATCGACCTGAAATTTATCAATCACAATCATATAATCGCCCAGGCCTAGGTCCAAGGAATGAAAACTGGAAGGTGTGCATCACAGTTTGATGTGTATGGAGCTGTGTCCAAAGTGGCCTGGAGGCAGTGTCATCAAAAATTATGGCGTGAAAGTTCATCAACCTTTTTTTCCATATAGAAGACATTTGATAACAAAAAGCTGGAGTTCCTGGTGCTGACTTTGTCTCCTGTTCTCTGAATCTCAGTCAAATCAAGCACAAACAGGATGTTCAAATCCAATCCGTGGAGGCCTCACTTTGCAACTTCCAGAACTTTACAAATCTTCTGCTAATGTCATGGTTCTAGAAACTAAAGCCTACCTTTAAAAGGTCAAATGGAGTTCTTGTCTCATTGGGTCAGGGCTGTTTTGACTTTAAGAAGGGGCTGCACAATGTTGGGCAGGTGCATGGTTTATATAATATGCGGGGGCTAAGCAGAGCTGGTTCTCCTGAAAAAAAAGGGCACAAGCTCCCGTGAAAGCCTCCCCTAAGATGTTTAGGAGGAGCTCTACAAATCTGTCCACTTTAGATTATTTTTTCATGTTCCATACAGTAAGGTTCCTTAACCCCAGGGAGAGGAAGAGCATGTATTGGATCAATATCACAACAATATGTCTAAAGTAGTTTTCATAATACAAATACAGTAAAAAAAACATACAGACTTAGAGAAATAGTCCTGATATACTCAGGATGAAAAATTGAGGCCCTTTGTTTCTACACATGGTGAATATTTCAGGTTCAGCGGTTGTGTAAAAACGGGCCGATGACTGACAGGAGACAGAAAGCAGACAGGGACTTTAATGACGAGGCTGCAGCTTTGTTGACCCACCCTGGCTCATCCCCGCAGGCTTTTGTGTGTCTGAACGGCAAAACTGTTTTTCCTCTTGTTCTTCTGACAGACATGAGCCATAATTGACATGTTCTCTGGAGCTTCTTGTCAGTGAAATGAAAACATGAACTGTGTTTGACCGTCCAGGCTGACCTCTTTGTTTGGATCATGTCCCTGCTTTCCACTGCGAGTGTTGTACTGGTTCGGCTTAGTGATTAAATGGTGTACCCTTTATACAGAAACCGCAGTCTTTAAAGGGAGTTTGAATCTAACTCACCACCCTTTGTCACGTTATTTACCTCTCTCTCTTAAACGTTAAGGAAAACCACCTCAAAGTGTGCTGCTGTTGTATTTGGACTTTTAAAATATGTCTTAAAATGAAACAGCCAGTTTGATAAAGTCTATATCTTTTTGGGGTTGGCATGGTTTTGTCCCTTTTTTAAGGTTTTCAGCACCAAAATGTCCCAAACAAAACTAAACCAATATGGACCCTTGTAGCTCACAGTGCTGCAGGAACCTTGTCAGCCCACAGAGCTGTCAATCATAGCGCCACAATCCCTCCTTTAAATGGTTATGATCATAGACTGTATATAGAAAACATGACCCCCCTGTATACAGATTTGAAGCCAAAAAGCCCTCTGCATTTCTGCGTTTTTCTCCACTTCCTACAAAGAACTTGAGCACAAACCTGTCGTACAGTAACTACATGTCAACACCGCAAGCAGGGGGGTGAAAAATTTATATTCTATGTAATAAATTGCTACAGTTAATCCACAGCCCCATAAAGATGGCTGGAGGAGGCGGGATTTATGACCTATACTGCAGCCCGTCACCAGAGGGTGCTGTTGTTGGAGTGGCTTCACCCAGCGAGGCGACAGATGCTGTCCATTCTATATACAGTCTATGCTTATGATTCATCTTTTTTGAAAAACGATCACTTGAACAAAAATCAGCAGGATGAGAACCTCCTTGACTGATAGAAAAAAAACATTTCCAGGAAAAACATTATTTGATATGAACTTTAATTTTATAATTTGACCCGAGTCTCTTTGCTAACAAGAAGAAGACAGGCTTAGATAAGACCTTTTCTCCAGGCTATCGCGAAGGGAAACCAGTTAAACTTAAGGGAAGTTGTCCTTACGTCCGTCTTTTGTCTGAATGTGGGTTGCCCTGCGCATTTGGACTTCACTTTGGTTCTGTGATTTATCAACCATTAACCGTTTTAATCAGCCGCTGGTTTCATGGTGGTGTTCATCAACGAGAGCATCTTTTATGAGCTAATTAGCTTAGCCGCTAAGTAGATTAATCCAGCCCTGTCCCGGATTTTAATGGATGGAGAGGGGTTTTTTTTGCAGGAACAGAGAAATAATTCTAATTCATTTGAATCCGACACTGCATCACGAACAGTTCATAATCATAGTTTTTCTCAAAGATAGATTTATTTCAGCGGTGTGTTACTCACAGCTTTCCCATACAGATCTACACAGAGTGTGCCTGAGGAGCGGACCATCAGGTTCATGTCTGATGTGCGTCCCTGCAGGGAGAGCTGTGTGTTTGAAGTTGAATGATTGTATCAGTCAAACAGCAGGTGTGAGAGGTACAGCATCAGTACGACCTGCAGCTGGACGCTGAGCTGCTCGCCTCCAGCAGTCAGAAGCTCCACATCCTGCTGCTATCTGTCAAACAAGGAAAAAAAACATGTCCTCTTCTGCACGCACTTATAGACCTGCAAACAGTACTGTATCTTAATGAAACCCTGAATACTCCTTTGGTTTCTTCCTCCCACCACTAAGACCCCTGACCAGTCTCACTTGTCCACATCGATGGTCCTGGATGCACCCAAACTGAGTGTCACAGTCTCCGCTCTTTCTAGCCCTTTCTGGGTTTTCTGTCGATATTTTTTAAGACCGCTCCAGAGCTCAGATATCAAGCAGACCCTCTGCTCATTGCAGTGAGACAGATGGCTCTGAGAGATAAAGCCAATTACTGTTGGCTGTCTGTTGCACGAGCATCCGCAGAGACTTAGCTGTGGAGACAAACTCCAGGAAATGCAAATAGAAACTGTAGCTGCTCTTAGAGGAACATGGCTCATGAAAAAGAGGCTGTTGTGGGCTGTTGAGTCTAGATGTGCTGATTTTACTTAAGAAATCTGATCAGCTTCACATTAAATCACTTTACTGAAGCAACCCTTATCTTTGACCCTCAAAACAGACAAACTATTCTGTCTCTCTGTGTTGGTAGAGGGCATTTTTACTTCTTTTTTTATCTGACAGATTTTCCAGAGGAAATAAAAGTTCATAGACTGAAATCTTTTTGTAGCGAAAGTCAATTTTGTCTCCTGATGCCATCATGTTAAAGGGATATTTCAGCATAAAATTAATTTAGGGTCAAACACACCGTAACATCGAGTTAGACACGCCGTCGAGACATGAATGTTGCAGACTGCTTGCTTCTCTAGTTATACCAACTTGGGTAATGACCGCAGATAGCAATACAGAGAGCCACGTGTTAAACCAAAACACCACTCTATAGCCACAAATAATGCTCAGAGCAGCACCTAACTTCATCAACAGTACACATGAGGTCCTAGCCACAGCACTAGACACCAAACATCTTTTTAGCTTTCCCTAATTCCTTTAGCAAAGAGACTAAACACAACTCACCCACTCTCTTCAAGCAGCCACTTGTTTGTACCGAGACCTCTGGGCGAGTCCACCGACTGCAGTGGGGTAACGCAGCTCATGGAAGAACATTTATGATTTTTTCTTTATGGAAATGCAATCAGACAGAGATGCTAAGGCAGAAGAACTACAGTGTCTGCAGTACAAAATAATTAATATGATGATTATTACTTCAAGGAAATAAAAAAAGTAATGATCATAAATGTTCTTCCTTGAGCTGCGTCCCCCTGCTGCAGTTGATGGACTCGTCCGGAAGTCTCCGTACAAACAAGCAGCTGCTGGAAGAGAGTAGGTGAGCTGTAGGCAAAGTTAAAAAGATGTTTGGAGGCCGGCACTATGGCTGGGACCCTATATGTACTGTAGATGAAGTTAGGTGCTGTTCTGAGCATTATTTGTGGCTATAGAGTGGCTTTTTGGCTGAGCGCGTGGCTCTTTGTATCGCTATTGTGCGGTTGTTACTAAAGTTGGTATAACTAGAGAAGCAAGCGGTCGGCAACATTCATCTCTTGAAGGGGTGTCTAACTCGGTGTTACGTGTGTTTGACTCTAACTTAATTTTATGCCGGAATATCCCTTTAATTTGAATGAGTTACATAAAGGTGTAAGCATATTTGTGTGGCCCCAAAATGGCCATGGCAGATAGTTTCACAAACCCAGTCACAGATAAGTTTGGATGTAGTCCGATTTATTCACAAAAACATATTTTGATGGTTTGCAAATCACTTGATCAGTATATTTTATTCAAAATATAAAACTCTAGAACAGCTGTGAAATGCTTAAAAAAAATCAGCAGGAATACTTAAAGCCTGAGGGGGTGATTTGCAACATGACTGGGTATAAAAACCAATACTGGATGACCCTGATCATCAGGCCCTCAGGCAGCTCTGCATTAAAAACAGACAGAATTCTGTAGTTGAGGTCACTGCATGTTTTCAAAATCACTTAGAAAAACTGTTGTCTGTCAACACTGTTTGTGGGAAACAATAAAATTACATGTTTGAATCAACCATTTTGGCATTTTTTCAGTCTGATCTGGTAGACATCAAGATTTTTGTCTTCTCTCTCTCTCTCTTTGTCTCTCTCTCTCTCTCTCTCTCTCTCTCTCTCTCTCTCTCTCTCTCTCTTTCTCTCTCTCTCTCTCTCTCTGTGTTCAGGATGATCCCAGCCTCCAGTAAAGCCTTCCTGGTGACAAACCTTGTGTCCGGGACTCGTTATGACCTGTGTGTGCTCGCCGCCTGGGACGACTCGGCCACCACGCTTACCGCCACCAACGTGGTGGGCTGCACCCACTTCTTCACCCAGGATGACTACCCACAATGTCAGTCCATGCCCAGCCAGCTGCTGGGCGGCACAATGATCCTGGTAGTGGGGGGCGTCATCGTGGCCACGCTGCTCGTCTTCATCGTCATCCTCATGGTGCGTTACAAAGCCACGGACAATGAGCCTCCCGCGGGGAAGCTGGCCAACGTCAGCGACACGCACTCCCAGACCAATGGGGGGCGACTGGGGCAGAACGGACTCTTGATGCTGCAGTCTCAGCCGCAGCCGCAGCCGCAACCTCAGCCTCAGCCTCAGCCTCAGCCCGAGCCGAAGGTCAAGGCTAAGGTGACCCTGCAGGACGAGGTGGTGGAGTTCAAGTGCGGCTCCCTTCAGAGCAGCCTCACCTCCTCCTCCTCCTCCTCTTCCTCGGGTTCCTTGGCGGGACGCTCGTACAGCCCTAACACTGCTCTCGCAAACATTTGGAGGTCTGCTCAGTCGAAGCCCCGGACCAACCTGGACCACCTCCTGGGGGCGTTCACCTCCCTGGACTTGCGAGGGGCTCAGGGCAGCGAGGTCGGAGCCTCCAGTAGCGCCTCGTCGACAGTGCCGAGGAAACCGCACACAGACAGGGAGCCGCTGCTGGGTCGGACTCTGGACTCCAGCCTCAGCCGGCTCCTCATGCTCCCCCTAGAGGCCAAGCCCAGGAGGAGTCAATCCTTCGACATGGGGGACGTAACGAGCGCCGGGGCCGCACAGCTCAGCAACAAACCTCGCAGGATCAGCAGCATCTGGACTAAGAGGAGCCTGTCAGTGAACGGCATGCTGCTGCAGTGTGAGGAGGAGGGGGACACAGGGGGGAGTAAGGGCACGTTGGACAGCGCTGACTGGGTGATGGAGAGTACTGTGTAGTGGAGATGGAAGACTGTCATTCTGTCAAACACTGCCCCGACACTCGGCCACGCCAAGACGGACCTGCTGGTCTCAGAGCCTTTGTCCTGCATGAAGCACACTCTTTTCCCTCCCCCTTCCTCCTCACACTCACTACTCACTACCGGGTGAGTCACGGTTACAGCCAAATCAAACTGCAGGAAAAAAGACCTTTGCCTCACATATTGTACAGAAACACATGAACACGGCTGATCAGCTGAGGCGGCGCGGTGCTGCGTGATACAGAAATATGAGGTCATACTCATGAACTGTTCTTACTCTGTAAAAAGTTAATGTAATGAAATTAAAATTTTATATTTTTTATTTTGCTGGTCAAACACACACTGTTGTCTGCCTTGACAAGCATCGAGGTGTGTCCAGGTTTGAATCCAAACTTTTCGGCTGTAAATTCATTTCATCTCAGTGACCTCCTGATGCAGTTTATCTTCTCTGACTGAACGGTGCAGTAAATATAAATATATGAATATATCTAAATGTAGATGTGATGCTTACAGTAAGATTTAAGAAAAAAAGATTTATTGACAGAGTTGTTTGTGAATATATTTACTTTCTCTACAGAGTATATATTTGAGGGGTCACGCTATAATTCTGTCTGCTGATCATGTTGAATTTTATGTGACTGTGTAGATTATGAACTGATCGTCTGTCTGCACTGTCAGGACTTAGTCCACTGTTTCAAAAATGCCAAATTACTTCATAGGAAACTGGTGCAACAGAAAGGATAATCACACAGACTTTGAGACCTGTTTGGCCGTGTACAGTTTACCTGTTATCTCCTGTAGTTAAGAACATGATTTTTAATCTTTGCTTTTTATTATTCAGGTTTTTAAATGACAGATATTAAAGAGGAACTCCCTTTTTTGTTGAAAAAATCCATATCACATAAACACTAAACATTTTCTTTCATATCGCTGAAACCTTTTTTTTTTAAGTTTAACAATGGGTGCTATGTAAAGCTAGAGAAAAGTTGTGTATGGTGGCCTTGAAGGTCAATGGCACAAAAGTTACTGGAAGGACAGAAATAATTATTTCACATAAAATAAAAATGTTTCATAAAAACTGAAAAATTATTTCACAAACATTAAAAAAAAACTTTACATACATTTTTACAGCATTTTTTGGAAAATCATAAAAAAATCTAGAAAACATAAAATGATTTTGGAAATGAATTTGTGTTTCCAAAATATGTTTATGCTTTTAAATTTTTTTTCCTGTTTTCTAGAGAATTTTTTTAATTCAGTTGATTCCAAAATATTTTTGTTTTCCAAAATATTTCATGTTTCCCAATTTTTTAAATCAATTTTTATTGTTTTAAATATTTTTACTTTCTCATGTTAGAGTTGCACATCCAATATGGTTTTGTGTTTTCAAAATTTATTTGCACCTCTGAAGCATTTTTTATGATGCAGAATATTTTTCTTATTTTTTAAAATATCCTAAAACTATGTTTTTTTAATATTTCAGGTTTTTTGAAATATTTTTTTCTATTTAATGGAATGTTTTTGTGTTTTATGAAACATTTATTTCTGTCCTTCTTGAAATATTTGACCATTGACCTTCAGGGCCAACATTCTCCTGGTAAGACTGGCAATTTTTTTCTATCACTTTTGAGCACAATCAAAGTAATCACTTTAAGCAAGAAGCACACTGCAAGATAATCAGGCCAATTTTGGGTCCGATTCCCACTCCCCAAAAACTGGCAAAGGCAAAAATGTTCATGTTTTTAAAAATCACGGATTTCCCTGTGGCGTGAAGTATGTTCCGCGTGATTTTACTTCCCCAAACTATTTGGAAGAAAGGGCCGCCATTGTTTGAAATTATGTACACTAAACATGTCGAGTTTGTTTGCAGGGAACCCTGAAGACAGCCGAGTTTGCACTCTGTGTGTTGTAACATTAAATGAATACATTCAGGACGTAGTCCAACTGTGGCTGCTTTAAAACACAGAGCACAGCAATTCTCAATACCTCACAGATCCTCCTGTAATGTAAGCGATCATTCACTGAATGAACTACACCCACGTTACCATTCATGAGTTGCAAATTGAACCATTGAGCGTGTTCAATAAGCATGTTCATTGTGGGGCATTCACACGGCACACTGGCCTTGGCACACAGTAGGAAGCATAAAATGAGACTGACGTCAGAAATGGAGAGCCAACAACTCAAGTATTAATGCAATTTGCCCTGTAAAACATCCAAAGTGAGAGGAAATGGACAGAAACCGCAAGCACAATATATCAAGCAGTAAGCATCTTTTAGCTCGACAATCCCATCGTCACACCAAGTCTGAAACTGCGCTAAATCAAATTTGCCACTGTAGGACTGTCAGACCTTTTTATTCCCTTGAACTCAGCAATTCTCCTCAACACAAAACATACTCCGTTTTTGTTATGGCCAACTGGCGAATCACCTTATCCAATCATAAGGAACCAAACAGAGAACCAAACATGGGTCAGAGTTGGGGTCCAAAATACCTTATCATATTTCATATTTAGTCATTTCAAATCATGAAACACCAGTCAATTGTTCCGGACAACTTTGTAGTTTGGCAACAGTGGACAAGACTTCCAAAGAGCTGGTCGATCAGAAGACAGTGGACACATGGGAAAAAATGGGGGACCTAAGAGAGACAGTGCTATAAATGATGATGTTTAAACCGGTAGTGTGTGTCTGCAGAGTTGGAGGTTGCAGTTGCGGGACCACAGTTCTCGGGTCGCATCTCCAGGACCTGTGTTTTGTTGCAACATTCAAGGTCAGGGTTGGACCTGAACACCAACTATGGGTATGTAAGATGTTTAGAATGTGATTTTTGTGTTCTTTTGTAAAAAAAAACAAGGGTCATAGGGTTTAGTCACAGAGATGTAGTCCTGAATTTGCAACCTGCGGGTCTGCAGACACATACTGCTCATTAAAATGGTTTTGAAAAACATCAACCTGACAGAAGGACATTAAAAAGTCTGAAAATGGACAAATCCCCCCCTTTTTTAAGTTTTTTCACTCCCTTCAAAAAAAAAACAACAGTTTTTAAAAAAGCACAATTCTTTAAAGACTCAACATCACATTTTCAAACTTTCAATGCTGTCCTCTTTCTCCAGTGTTTATAAAATTTCAGAAAATAAACTAATAAAAAATGAAGGTTCATCTTGATGTCATTGTGGAGGACGTTTTATCGAACATTATGAAGTTTGCTTTTTTTGTCATGTGTTGCATGTTTCTGCTGCAGATGACCCAAGAGTTGTGTAAACATTGATGCTGTCATTTCTCATGAGCTGTCTGGATGACTTTTTTGTGATATTTCTGGACTGATTGCGTGTGTACAGTCTCTGCATATCGGGGTTTCTTTTGTACCATACTCCAGTCTGATCTTATGTGAACAGTAAAGGAGAAGGTGACGGAAAACAGCTGTTCACATTTCTTACCTGGAGCTGTAAAAAAACATTTCTGTGGTTCAATTTGTTGTTTTTGCTACAAAGATAAAACTAAAATCTCCTGAGACAAACAGGCGGTGTCCTCTGAGTGTTTCTTTTATTACTGCTGCAGAGAGAGGGACACAAACAGGCTCACAGAAATGAAATCTTTGAATGAACACAACCATCAAGGTGAAAGTAGATGTGCAAAAGATTTTACAAAGAAAAAGAAAAATTGACGAATGACTACAAAACATGTAAACCTGGAACTATTCTTTTTTTACATATTTAATTTCCTGAATATCTGATTGGATAAAAATCAACAAGGTTATTTGATAAATCAGTCCAATGCCAGGATCTGCCTTGACACTGAGTAGTTTTCTGAGACAAAATAAATCAATTTAATCATAGTGCATAGGGACTGTGCAGTGTTAATTAAAGGTGGGGTAGGCAGGATCTGAGGAAGTGCCAGTTTTTGGGAGAAATCTTGAATGTAAACTCTACCCCTCCCAACCAGTTTTCCCCTCAGCTCCTCCTCTCCCCTCCCTCTCTGCTCCAGCAAGCCCCGCCCACAAACAGCCGCTCCTGTTCACTCATATCGTTTCAATTAAATTCAGATATAATGCAGATAAATACTTCAGATAATTTCAAATGGAGCCCAGTCAACGTGAAAGTAAACAGCATTGGTGCTACTGTAGATGCCAACAGACTACCAGCAAACACAATGTTTGCAGGACTTCTACAACTAGAATAAAGTGACATAGTCCGGGACCTGACCTAAACAGTTCAGCGGCGAAACAACACGCAGCAGGTCCTATTTGACAAGAAACACTTCTATTACAGACACTTGGCTTACTTTGTTAAAGTGGTTTACCTGTACAGCAGAAAAGTTACAGAGTCTGTGAGATCCCGAAGTGTCCTCAATCTTTTATGCTTATGATTTTGACCTGGCTTTTTAGCTCTTGTCCAGTCTACCTCTGTTTTAAGTGCCCATTATTCCGCCAGAGACTCCGGTATTTACTTTGTTTTCTTGCTTGTGTCGGCAGTCGTGGCCAAAGGAGGATTCAGACGATTTTCTGTACTTTCTGGTTGGTTTCTACCGCCCGATATTGTAGCACGCTAACTTGTTTGGGCTCATGAACGACACAGGGGAGAAGCGTCCGCCTCACAACCAATCAGGTTGGGGGAGGTGGAGAACGGTTTTGTTTACAGTCAGAAATAGCGGGCTGCTCAAAAAATTTATAATGTTGACTACACAGACATATCAAAACACAACAATACCATTATATTATCAAATAACATCAATAACTGATAGTTATTGACTGATATTAAAAGCTTTTTTGTATATACACCACAAAAAAAGATGCTTCTCTAACGGATTCCTGCCTACCACACCTTTAAGCCAATGAAAACGATGACAAAAGTACTCAATGATAATGACATTAATAGTGAAGCTGAAAACTGAAAACAAGTGAAACTGAAAAATTATGGCAAAAACCCTGTTTATAATTGCTCCAACCAATAATCAAGAGACCCAGTAATTGACTCTGTTTGGGTCATTTAATTCCCTGTTTGTTTACACTTTTGAAAATACTCTTTCAATCATGTTTTGTGCAGTCTGTCGAAACTCTACTTTTTTTTTCTTCAACAAGAAATTCGATTTATTTTGGGATCGCAATGTTCGACCTAACACAATTCTATCACTGTGTTACTTCATGCCATTCACAGCAGCTTAAACAGACCGCAGTGGTAGGTATCTGTTTAAAATTCCCATCACCTCCCCGAGGCAGACAGGTCATCAAACTGGGCTCTGGTCAGCTTCGAGGAGCAGGCAGCAGCAAGAAAGTTCATCCAGACAGTTTATGGAGCAGGAGGAGAGATTAACCCAGCAGTGGGAGAGAGTCCAGCAACCCCATGAATTTTAGAAATGTAGTCTGGGTTTCGTAAGAATGGAGAGGAGTGGATATTTTGTCGTCTCTTTCCTCGGAGCATCAGATTGCATATTCAGACTTGTACAAGGAATCATGAGCAAAAATTGTTTATTGCACAAACCCCTCAGACTTAAATTAGTGATGTTGTTTCCCACCTTAAACTAGCCTGCTCGGGTTTTAAGGATTTGATGAGAGGAGTAACATTTGGCTTTTACTTGAAGTAATTCAGCAGCTTTACAAAAACATGAAGAGCCTCAGAGTCTCAGAGTTTTGAGTTGTTGTCATGCACGCCGTCAGTGTTAAAAAGGCCCTGGCCCTGAGTCTGTGAATATATCATTCATCCCGCCCTCCTCCCTCTCTGTTGGCTGAGTGGAGCTCTGACAGCTGTCACTCATATTGACAAGTCGTCACCTCGCCCCAGGCTGAGATATCCCTCTATCTTCAAATCCACCAGGCTCAGAGCAAAACATCCAATTTGCAATTTAAAGAGATCCTGCAGAGGTTTGTGAGTGACACTTTCAGCTCTGCTGTCCTTTTGTTTGTTTCCAGCAGCGGAGAAAAAGCCAAAAGATTTAAACCAGAAAATCTCAGACTGAGAATATCCTGTTTTTTGGTCTTCTGTGGTTGTTGAGGCAGATCCATTGAACCACTTTTCACTTGTCATTATGTCAGTCTCATACTACTACAAAGTGGCTTTAAAATCTTATTCTTTATTGTACACTGTTGATTGTAAAAACCCCTTATATTTTTCCTTTTAGCCTCTGCCTGAAATACTGCCTTCTCGCTGCTTTTCCCCTCATATACAACTAGACACAGTTTGTGGGTGTTACTGTTAGAGCAACAAATTGTTACAAATTCTGTTTAGTGTTTCCTTTGTGTCTGTTTTCTTCAATTTGGTAGATGTCTCCTCCTTTTAGCAGCTTTCTTTCAACGTCTCTTGTTATTTTTGTGTTTTTTGGGGTCAGCGCTTTACCACAAATTTGACCTTTCGTAATATGCCACTAACTAAAAATAATTTTTGCAAATCCCTCTGCGTTGTTGAGCTACGTCAGATGTCAACATAATTAACATTTTTGTCATGTTGTCAACAGACAGAGGTGAAATAAGAGGCTTATTTCTATGGATTGATCTGATTTGACATGTGGGATCAGGTTGTTTCTGCCACCACTTTGCTGTTAAGACATAACCCACTGTTTCTGTCAAATATTAAGCAATCTTATAAAAAAAGACCCAAATATTGAGTTTTTGCAGAGTTGTTTCAGAATAGAGGCATATTTAAGATGGACAGTTCTGTTCAAAGTGAACTGTGAAACTCCGGGACTTACTTCAGAGTGCATTGAGGACTTTTCCTTCAAGCGTTCAAACCCAGATCGATCCGATGAATTTGATTTGGAGCAGTTTAATGTGGATGCTCGGATGCCTATTAAAAGTTCCAGTCTGTCTAATAGGATGTGAAGGTAAACAGGGACAAATAGATCTAACAGGAAAGGTATAGAGGAAAGTCCACTGTCTGAGGCAATTAGGAAATCATTTGTAACTTTCACAGAGCTCTCTCAGAGCTGCTGGATCCTTAATCCAGACTGAAGTCCCTGAAAAATTAGTTTTTACAAAGAAACTCATACAGGCAAGTAAAAGAGAGGAAAAAAAGTCATTTTGGTTTCCATTTATTGTGATTGTTATAAAGTTATTTAATACCATATGCCTGCTTCCACAGCACAGTGCCAAATGGTTTAAAGATGAAGACTGTCAGTGCACAACCCTCACACCAAACCACTAAAGAAGGTAATGTAAGGTAATAGAATGTAAATAAATACTTCATAATATATACATAAAGCATCTCTTTATGTGACAGTTAACATAGAAGTTTTTTAACAGGCTGAAGATTTAAAGTAAATCCACATGTTCCAAACTATAATATGTAACCAATACAGTAAACACTGGAAGAGGTTTTTCCGTAATGGATGATCCCAAACTCATTTAATTGTCAATTGTTTTTGTGAGCACCTGTGACCACCAATAATGAAGTATTATCTTCTTTGCAGTGCCTATCATGTTGTACTAATGAATACAACAAGTTTGGGAGAGTTTCTTCCTCATTAATCCAGGAGGTTTGGCCATCCAGGAGCGAGTGGATGCAGCAATCAGGTAAACAGGACAGACGTCATACAAGCATTATGTAAACATCAATATATTCATTTCTTGGGGAGTAGAGACTATTTGTCCCTGTGCTCTGCTTTTAAAGAAAATACAGAGGTTTTCGATGCAGGACATTAGCATTAAAAATGTTGTAATTTTAGCAACATCTTCCTGTTACATCTTACTTGCGTCATCACAGACTCTGCTCCCAGATCAGTTTCCACAGTCCGACCCTCACACACACACACATACACACTCACTCACAGTGATGATTTGGGCCACCAGACACGACATTCATCATCTGTAGAATTAAACGGACACTTTGCATAAAAATCAGAGGCCCTCAAAGATCTACAGAGCTCACTTTGGATTTCAAAGCGCCAAAGTGCTCTTTGTGCTGGCTCATTCTCACATTTAATTCAATCGGTCAGAGCAGAAGAGTGTAATTACTGCGGATAAAAGAGACGTGGTCACACTGTAACAGGCTGCTGACCACCCAGCAAACACAAATTCAATCAAAGGCTCAGCCAGAGGTGATCAGACGCTGCAGCTCTAATCAAAGGAATCTTAATAGTCATGATAATCTGATCAGTCACACCCAAAGATGAAATATTCACAGCTATGTGGAGCAGACGAGGAGGAAATTCATTAAAAATGAAGAGCTGCAGACAATGAGAGCTGTGACTCAGCTGCTGTGTCACAGATCACACCGGGACGGATGACGTATCAAAAAGGTAAGACTCAGGTCTAGGGGTTGACCTCAGTTTCCTGAGTTAGGACTAGTCATGTGACTGACCATCTTGTAAGTTAGTGATGGGCATGGCAGTTCTTTTAGATGTTCTGAATCACTAGTGTTATGGACAGTCATTCGTTTTGAGTGTTTTCTTCATGTTTATTATTTTTCTGCGGTAAAGTAGCAGTTTAGTTCGACGATGACGTCACTTCCTGCAAAGACCGGAAGTGGTCGCAGGTCGGGATTCGCGCGAACGGACGGCCGACAGGGCGTTTATGGAGTGTTTTCCTCGTTATCCTCCGTGGTTTTACAAGTCTGTTAAGACGCATTATCTGTGAGTATGTGTTAATATGGTTTACATTGATGTTAAGAGTGAACTATTTGGCGATTTATGTCTGAAATTCATGCCTATTTTGTAATGTTTTGTATTGCAGTTTCACACTGGTTCAGTAAAAAGTCAAACAAGTCCCGGCTTCAACTGCATTTATTGAATCACGTGTTTAAATGTCTGGATAACCGCTGGTGAGACCAGTACAATTAGAATCAGTTCACTAAAAAGATTTGCTCAAAAGATTCGTTTACCAAATCACCGAATCATTTCATGGGAGAAGTCTGCGACTCCGACCTCCTGAACTGATACACAGCTGAACATTTCATGATTCAGTTCAGATCAGTTCAGTTCACATCTGGGACTGGAAGACAAGAGTGTTTGGCTTTGTTGCTTGTTTATAAGTCATGTTTTAAGTGTACTGTCCCATGGTATGCTATTTACCAGGTCTGCTCGGTAAACTGGGCTCAGTGAGTGATTCGTTCACTTAAAGTTTAGAAGAATTCACATTGAACATGCACCGTTCCCTCACAAACCGCTGCAAAGATAGGATGCTGCGGGTTTAATGCACTATTTGTTAGGTGCTGTGTCCTATTGTATAAAAGTTGTTGTGTGGCAATTTAGCAGTGAAATAATGATTCCAGAGAGTGCAGTTCAATGCTTGATTCATTCAACAAGTGATCCAGGCGTCTGTGCATGTGGTTCCTTGTTTGCCGGCTGCTGGCCTGGCAATGCTGTTTCTCACTTCAGCTCAATTGAAATGAGAAACAAACAAATTGCTCGAGGAAGTGATTCGGTTCATTACGTTCACTTAAAAGATTCGGTTCTTTTGAACGAATCGTTCGCAAACAACACAGGAACAGGGACAAGCAACCTTACTGGGACTCTAGAAAGTGCAAAATGATGTTGCAGTTACCAGGGATCACTAGACATCAAAAGTAATCAAAAATATCTTAGAATAACTGCAGATCATATTTAGACTGACTGAACATTATAAACCTGCATTTAAAGCTGCGTGTTAGGGCTGAATTCTGTCTCTAAAATACACAATAAGTGGGAAAACTGATGTTCCATACCCTCCTCTCTCTAAGACTCAAATCCAACTCATTCTGGTCTTTGTTTACAAAAAAGTCACCAGAAATCTGATCCGCACAAATGGCTAGATTGTTCTGCCTAAACATAAAATCCTCCCACTGTTTTTCGGTGCCTTCATCTTCCCAAAGCACCCTTTGGAGCAACTTTATGAGACATACTGAATCACTAGATAGCATCTCTATCTGAGTATCTCATTTTCTGCAACTTTTTCCGATCCCACACTGTAATCTTTTATAGCCTTCAGTAAAGTATCTCGTATGGATTGGTTTGACGTGTTTCCTTTGCTGTGACAAAAAAAAGTACTCCAAAGCTGTCTCTGTTTATTATAATAAGTCTGAAAATCCAAACTAAGTATTTTCCATCGCATTTATTTGATCCCAGATTGACGTTACTGCATCATAAACATGGACTTAAAACTGTTCAGAAATGAAACATAATGAATTTTGAACACAAGATTAAAAACACATAAATTGACAGCCCTTACCCTCCTCTCCTCTTGTTAATATCCCCTAACCCTGGCAGTCTATAAGTCTTCTAAGATCTCCTCTGTGGCAAACACTTACTCTTTGAATATCCTAAAGTAAAGCAGAAAGAGGTTTATATTAATGTGGAAACACATCCCGCCTATTCTCTGTGAACTTTCTCTGTCAGACCAGTCTTAAATGAAATGTCAGTGTTTATAAGTCTGGACTTTTATCCACCGTAGAAATAAAAGAGGTGATAAATCACGACTATTCAGGCTACTCCAGTCACAGCAGCTCCACTTGTTAACAAATGGAAAAAGAAAGTGTTATAGGAGGTGGAAATGGGGTCATTTTATCAATATTTGACTCTGACTTCTCTGATTGCTCTGTGAGTGTTTTGTTATTCCCTTCACTGTCTGAAAGCCACTCAGAGGTTTTTCTCCCAGAGGATATTCAAGGAGTCTGTCATCTTTTGGAGCTGTCTCTGCTCAGCCCACTATCTGTTTTTGATAAGTGACTGTGAGGTCCTCTGAGAGTCCGCAAATCGTTCTGAGATATACAAGTTAAACCGGGACTAAATGGAAGTCTGAGTGTTTCAGAGAAGCAGGGAGGGTCAAGATAATAATTTGGCCTTTAAAGTTATCCTTTAGGACAGCGACCCCTGCTGACTTGTTTGTACCACATGAAAACCAGATGTCTTTCCCCCTTTGATTTTTCCAGAATGATCTGTCTGACTTTTCAGCATGCGTTTCTTGGATAAAGTAAAAATCTACTGGTTTCCTCTGACAAAACAAAAACACCCCTTTCCTTTTTAGATCATTTCTAATCCTTCCCTCAAGGGAAAAGGCTTTTGGGAACATGAGAATCATGAGGTCCTTGAGGTCCAGGGGTGTAGTCATCTGTCCGGGACTCCTGAGGTTGTGGGTTTGATCCTTCGCCAGTACTCTGTGAGTTATTGTAGGTCACTGTTTAAATAAAACAGGGTGAAAAGTGTTCCTGAACATATCATGATTATGTCCACATGGCTCAGAGAATAAGAAGTCTGACTGGGACTCCTGAGGTCGTGGGTACAAGCCTTATCCAGGGTGAGGTAAATTAAAGTCCAGCAGCCAAAGTGCCATGATAAAAGCGTGCAGAGCTCATCCCCATGTGCCAATGGTATCCAGTGGTGCAGTGCGGTATACAACTGACACCCAAATGCCACTCAGGCAGTCAGCCCTTGTTTGATATCCGTTCGACACAAAGGAGATCCTAAAGCAAATCCTGGGGTTAAAAAGGGGGGCTTATGAAGCAGGAAGTCAGAGGTGGGTGAAATTTTGAAGAAGCAAAGTTGTCAAAGCGATGACTAGAAAAGTAGAAAAGTTATGACTGTAATGTAGAAATGACTATAATATAAAGTCTATATTATAGTCACAGTTCAACATATTGACTTTATCTTATTTTAAAAATTAACCAGATATTTAACTCTGTAGCTGCATACAACTTCTGCTGCTGCTCGTGCTGCAAACTGTTCAATTTTGCTTCAGCTTGGCACATGGAAGGAGGATATTTACCCCAAACATTCAGTGAGCCAACACTGCCACACTGTGGTCAACAATAGATAACACAAAATTTAAAAAGCTGCCTGTATTCATGTTCCATAAAGAAAAAACAATCATCTCCACCTGATGGATGGGGGGGGGGGGGGCCTCAGCCACCAAAAAATCATTTGCTCTACAGAAAACTGTGTGGTTACTTTTTACTGCATTATAACTCACACACATTGATTTTCTTCAGACACACACACACACACGCTGTGTCAATCCTGGATTTCTGCACTTTGAAGCCATCAATCCAAAAAGACAGACACAGCATGTTTATTTACGGGTCCAAAGTGACTTCAATAAACACTGTTTTCTGAAAAGGGCTCAGGGGAAGACAGTCTTAGTTTGGTTAACTTTGAATCACATTTTATATCTAAAGGACTGCCTATGAATAATCATTATAGTAGAGAAAAATGCAAAATATAAAACTTTTTTTACTTCAAATGTTTTGTAGCAGTTTTCTTAACACCACCACTTGTACCTCCAAGTCTTTTGAGGTCACATGTTTAATCTGACATAAGCAGAAAAAAAAAAAAGATCAGTCGGATAAATGACTGACTGACTAATTGATCTGAACTTTCACCCAAAAACACAACACAGAGACATTTAACTCTTTTACGACCGACACTCCTCTGCTATCTGGATTATGAGTCATTTCTGCTGAAGTGAAACCATTATAGGTTTCCTTTTACAGATTCAACTGCTGGTTACCAGAAGCTGTTCAATGTACAAAAGTCTGTGAGGAAATGGTCCTACCTTTCTCTCAGTAAACATTTTCCTCATGAGTTACTGATGTATGTTCTAAGTTGCAAGTCTTCTAAAAGATAGCACAATGTTCATGTTTAAACAGATTTGTGCACTTAAGTCACAAAACTTGCACAACAACCTAAACCGATTAAAAACATGTTTTTACATGATTTTCATCATGTTGCGTTTGTCTGAGTATCATGGGTCTTTGGGTAGCTTCAGTATTGCCTTTGACATCTTTGAAGGCAGATTTGTTTCCCTGATCTAAAACCTGCTTTTTCCTACAGGCACATGTTCAGGTGCGGGTGATTTTCACCCGGCAATAGTGATAGAGGGTAAAGTAGGTTTGGGTGGATTTGATAGCTGCATGTAGGCGAATAAGGTCATTTAAGAGTGGTCCTGGAATTTGCATGCTATCTTTATTTAGTGCAGTGGTTATGAATAACTATCACAAAGTAGAGATTTTCAAGGGAATTCATATTGTGATAACTCAAAATCTGCCATATTTTGGTTCTCTCTGCTGCAGCTGTTATTGTGCCAAGGACCCTGAGTCTTCACCAGGGAAGACTCACATACTCCAGGAATGGGAAAAGAAAAGAAACTAAGTTTTACTGTCTCTATTTTTTTTGGGGGGGGGAATTTTTTGTTCATGAATGCCAAATTTCAGTTATTTTGTTGCATTTTTATATGGTCCCCTCATGGCACTTTTTCCCTCTCTTTGGATATTGCACAGTTAAAAATAAAATAAAACTACTTTAATTTGTCAGTTATTGTCCTTTTTTGATATATTTTGATGACAAGGACTTTTTCTTGGGTATATTATTTCGAGTAAACATCACCCGGCGATGGTAATGGTTAATTCTTCTTATTGTTATTGCATATAACTGCTAAAAAGCTGTTTTGTTAAAAGCCATTTTAACATGAGAATGTCTTTAAGTGATTCAGAACTGTATTTCTGAAAAGAAAAAGTAACAGGTTTCAACAATCTGAACTGAAACTCTGATTCTCTCATCAGACTTCTTTACTTTCTCAGTTGAACCACTGTCTCAACTTACCCCAATTGTACACAATTCTCTTAAAACTTATGACAGACTAAATTCACTTTCAAGAGTGAAAAATGTTTTGTTTGAAAATAAATGTATAACCCCTTCACCCATGTGCTTCTAACCTTCACAGACTCCATGAATTGATGCCCATCTCCTAAATATTTGGTCACATGATCAATTTCTTTTACCATTTACAAGCAACGGGGGGTGGCTCAACTTACCCCACTCTCCCCTAAAGCAGTTAACCAGTGTTTGCACTCTACTGAAAAGAAGTCTAAAGCTCATTGTTTGGTTGCTCTCCTACGTCCGGCCTAAAATGACCTTTCAGATAATTTGTCATGAAATAGGATATCGAAGCCTATTGAAAAAGTGTTTGTACAACCTTCACCGAAGTCAAAGTAGGTTTCTGTTTCGGTACTGAAAAAAATGCAGGGTAACTGGTCCCTCTTTTTCTCCTGTATCAGTAACTCATTTGCCAACAGCCTGACTGCGGTTGTCAATAAAGTTTCTTTGACAGTTTAAATGTTATCATGTCGTGCGCATGCGTACTGTCGCAGTACTGCGGAGAGCCGTCCCGCAGCGGCAGCAGCAGCTGTCAGTTGACTGCAGGAATGTCAGTGTTTGTGTTACTGACTTTAAACACAGTCTGCTGCTAATTGAGCGTTTGAAACTAAGCTCAGTGTTTCTGTGCTCGTCCTTTAAACTCTCAAAAATGCCCAGAGAACGGTGAAGGACAAGTTTGCCCCCCCTGAGAACACGGGTTGTTGCTCAGGACTCTGGTCGTCGTCATGGCCTCTCTGACCGTCAGCTCGGCGGCACGGAACCTCGAGAGGCATCGGAAGTCTTTCTCGCTGCTCTTCTACCGGGCCGTTCGGGACCTGAAGCCGGTCTGGCTGCTGGAGGATATACGGATCATGGAGACATTTTACCCGGAGGAGGACGCCAGTCAGAGGACTTACACCCCGTCCGAGGCGCTGCTCTACGCGATAGTCCACGACCACCAGGCGTACGCACGGTACCTCCTCAGCCGGTACACCGAGGAGGCGTTAGCGAAGCCCGGGGAGCGTTTCTGCTGCTGCCCGTCCTCCGCCCCACACCTAACCATGGCAGTCCGCTACGACAGGCGCTATATCCTCGGCCTCATCCTGCAGGAGGCTCACCGGGTCCCCAGCACAACCCCCTACACGGACCAAACCGGCTGTTTCCACGTAGAGGACGGAAGGACCCCTCTCCATCTGGCCTGTGAGCTCCAGCGGCCCGAGGCGGTGGTCATGCTGCTGGGGAGCGGAGCCTCTCCTCACGCACGGGACCACAACGGCCTGACCCCGCTGGACGTGCTCCTGGAGAAGCTCCGGGACTCTAAAGCGGGGAGAGGCGGGGACGGGAGGCAGTGTCTGGACAACCTGCTCATGTTCATGCCGAAAGTCCGCTTTAAGATGGAGGCAGCTCTGAGCAGGGAGCCGGAGCAATGGACCAAGGTCCTTGGAGAGGACACCTACAAGTATCTATCGGGACGGAGCCCCGCACCACTAGTCCTCAGCGCCATGCAGACTGTCCTGAAACAGCTGAGCCCCGCCAGCTTCCCGGACTGCCTGCACGAGCTGCCTATCCCCTCCACCCTGAAGCCCCCCGGTCTGCCTGTGAGCCAGCGGGAGAGGCAGAGAGCGGTGTAGCAGCAGAGGGACATGATGATGCATGCTCTGTCTATCTACTTTAGCATGATGTGTGTGCGAGAGTGTGAGTGTGTGTTTGCAGCAATAGTAGGGGAGACCGGGGCTTGTTGTCACAGGGTTTGTGTTCTTTAACAGTTTGCTAAACGTCTTTGTTTTAACTTTCATCTGTGCTAGCGTAAGCTAACGGTTGTTACCATAGTTTCATGTGCTTATCTTATCGCCTCTGATTGGCCATAAGTGCTGACCGTTTGGCTTGAGCGTATAATGACATTTCCAGCTTTTCTAGCCAATCAGAGGCGAAGGAGGCGTCTTTTCCCCCCGGAAAGTCGCAAAATCGCATCGGGTTTGATGTGTATAGCCAGGTGTGTCAAAATTCGCCTCTGGATATTTCGTACTTTCGCGTTCTACATTTGTGTCGGCCCCGGTGTGTAAGGACCTTTAAAAGCGATTTCTGAGAGAAACAAGCCTTAATTCTTTTATAATAAGAGGACTTGGCAACTATCAGGCGTCTACATAAATTTTGCTAATGTTTAAACTTGTCTCTGTTCACAAATGCAGATCTAGGATGTACGCACATGCGTCCAAACGGAAATAAAACAACGGCTAGATTTTCAGAATAAAAGCAGCACACTTTTATAGCGTGGTGAGGATTTGACCTCACAAAGGGCCGGGCAGGGACATCCAAGGGGTCGGATGTGGCCCTTAGGCAGTAAAATGCCCTGAGGCATTCTGTCATACCTCAGTCATTGTTCTGTTTTAACCTAGAGCTAGATTTCGCAAACATGGTAGTTTGGAGCAACATGTCTCAGTCATTTTGGACTGGGGACTGAGACAAGGACTTTAATGTCAACTACCATACCTTGGCTCAGTAATGCAAAACATTCACTCCAGAGTCAGACAAACTTTTATGTTAACATTTGTTCAATGACTTTTTTTATCTCGATGATAAACATTTTCTATCCCTGACTTTGATGTTCACTTTCATCTAAAAAAATCAGAACAATAATAATTTTGTCCTTGTCTTATTAGCTGCAAACTCCACTGTGACAACTTACCCGATGGTGGGGCAACATGTCACATGTTCACACTCTCTATTTGATTGATTATAACTCTGCACTGACACAAGATATGAAAATGACATGAATACAAAATATATACCTGAGACTTTGGTCTTTCATCTGGTACACATTTTGTTTATATATGATGTATTGAATTAAAGAAATATAGAAGTGTGTAAAAAGTGTGACAACGAGCCCCGGTCTCCCCTACATGTCTGCAGAGGGGCAGAAACACTTGTTGAAAAGGCTGCAGAGATGAACACTGACAGCCCGGCCTCAGAAGTGTGGATCAGATCATGAAACTGTTATCTCACTGGTTGAATGAAACAGAGCTGCTAGAGGCTGACTCCTCTATCCTGTCTGCAGAGGGAATAAACAGCCATAATCTGAGACTCTGACACTAAATCAGACACCAATGATATGTTTGAATCGTCTAACCTCATTTTAAAGTGTTACTAACATGTACTACTGCTATTTAAAGCAATGTGGAGTAGAAGAAACACTGGTAACAGCCTGGGCTGTGTTCCTGATGATTATTTATTTTGCTTGTATTTATCAGTAGCATTGAACAAAGTGATCTTATAGATCATTTTAAAACAGGTGACTTGAATACTCTTTGGATGACTCATTATTTTCAATAAATAGGAATCCAAGTGTTGATCTGGTTTTGTCTTTCTTGACTCCATAAATAGCATGTTTGTTATCCACACCCAACAGGAATGTCTCCACATGACAAAGCTGTCCTTGAAGACAGCAATGTTCAAAGTGGAAGCTTGTTATAGTAGCTTCTGTACTTGATTTCCCTTTGTTATTCTAACAAAAATTCAAGGTCTTAAGACTTTTACACACACAAAATCACTAAATGTTCCAGTACGTCTTCAGTCTGCAGCAGTGAAACACACCGTGACAGCTGTATTATAATCCCTTTGGGGCAAATACATCAACTGACAATTCCTGTTTTTATCTCTGGCATTTCGATTGTTATTCTAAGTGCCGGTCAACATGACAAACAAGATCCTGTTTACCTATTTACTGAAGAAAGGTGTGGTGTTTCTAACCAGAGGCAGATACCACAATACTTTTCTTTGGGGTAATCTGAGAGATAGGACTTAAGAAAAAACTTTAAAAAAAACTTAAGAAAAATACTGATGATCTGACCAAGAAAGAAGAAAAAAAGAAGAGCTAAAAAAGAAAGAAACAAAAAACAAAAACTAGATAATTATCAGGCAGTTAGTTAGCCTTTGACACACACTGTAATTAGTTTGCATTTGGTCTATGATGATTATATAACTAAGTCTGATTCCAGAGTTGAGTCTGTGCTCTGGTAACATGTTTGTTTTCTGTAATATAAAAGATCATAGAGATTGCACTGTCAGGTATCTATCTATTATCCAGAATCCAGGAATTATCCGGAAGTTTGCTGCTGCTCTCACATGAGCTTTACTTGGACTCTACCCCAAAATGATGCTATAGAGCTGGCAGGGAATATTCTGGGTGAAGTCAGGGTGAGAAAAACTCATCTGTTTCTGTCCTCACATACAGCTCACCCAGGTAATTTCTGGACATTTTCAGGAACTTTGTATATGTGTGAAAGGGCAGCCTAAGTGAAACGCTGAAATAAAGTAGAATATCAATCCAGATTAGTAGTTTTACACCTCTTGCTAAGCAGGTTGGCTGACAAAATGTTGCTATACACTTTGCAGACAATTTGTTCACCTCCTGTTTGGATTCCATGACTTTGTTTACATAACAGTTAACAGAATAGTTCTGGTGCAAAGTTGTTCACACACTCAGAAACTATTTTTATGATGAACATTAACAGAACTGACAAAACTCAATAAATTATGTTTCTGCGATCTCAAATTGAACAGTAAAAACAAGATAGATGTACTAAGCACTGGTGCTCTGACCCCTTAATTCTGATTGTGAATTTTTACATTTAGCCTATATGACAGTCTCAGGAAATTTAACTAAATCTGTCATTATAAAACCTGTAAAATAGTTGAACTCATTCCCTGTGACTGGAGCTCAAAACCTGTTGATTTATGTGCACTTGTAAAACAATTATTTTTGTACATATGTACTTTTTTTCTGCCATTTTCCACAAGAATTTTGTTAAATATTGTTGTTCCCAACTACCAAAAGTGGGTTTTTTTTTTAATTCAAGTTGTCCGAAAATAAATAAATAAATAAAACTTTATAAAGAATGTCATTTGTGCAGTTTGAGGTGCTTTTAACACCGGTGTTCAAACCACTGAAAGGCTTTTAGTTGTTTTTTTATGCTCAGGGAGAAACGCAAGTATTTGAGTGACAAAATAACCGAGACCAACCATTCACACATGACTTAAAATAAACATAATCTCTGATAATGTTGTAATTTCGTCTGTATTTGCAGCAACATGTTTTTCTGTAAATATCCACTAGAGGACAGAGTCGTCCTGTGTTTATCACTCAGCCTCCTACTGAAAAAAGCCGTTCAGTGTGACGTATTCAGATCTTATTACAGCACACACACTGACTTCTGTCACAAAAAATACAACTTATTCATGAAAGAGTCAATATTAATCTTTCAATAACAGTATGTACGCCTGCTGTAGATGATGAAATTCTCTAATTCTTTGACATTATTGATTACTGAACAGTTTTTCAAAATTGTTGAACTATTTGCTCACACAGTCTCTCACAGAGTGATGAATTTGTATCTTCTGAGAGGCTCAGCATCCCTCTAATGGCTTTTATAATCCCACTCATGTTACTAACCTGTTGATAATTAACTCATAAAGAAGAGATGTTCTTCTGAATCGCATTGCTTGCATTAATTTAAAAGGGGCATTTTGTGGAAAAGTGGATTTTTTTTCAGTTTTTACATTTGACAAGCTGTATTTATTCAAAAATCTGAATTAAAATGATTTGCAAACATCCAAATCTATTTGAATCAACATTTTATACCAGGTTCTAACTACTTTGGATTGTGTCTGTATCCGTGTTGATGTCATGTAAAGTTGACGGTGTTGATAAGATAAGAACTGTTTGGTTCATGCCCGCAGATTTACCTCGGATCCTTTCCTGCTTGTTCACATGTTTGCTCTGGTTGGTTGAAGCTGCTGAGAAATTCATCATTCAATCTCTCCTGCAGGAAAATAAAACTTACGACAGGTCTCAGCATCTACATTTGCCACCACACTGTCAGAACAAACAACAAAAAAGATACAAATAAAGATAATCTCTTGTGAGCAGTTATCTTTTAATTGTGCATGCAAAATAACAATCCTGTGGGTATAAATGCATATCTTGTGGAAAGAGGTTAATGTAACCCTCTTCTAGGGTTATGAGTTAATTTCTTGTGCACATAACATGATACATTTTGTTCCCACAAGATTATTGTGTGACATGCATGTCAATCTCTTGATGCAAAATGTAAAACTGTTTATTATAAGGACTTGAAGGTCTTACAGATGGGGTGAGGAAATCCAATTTCCAGCAGGAGCTGGAAGCGTAGCTGCTGCTCCTGTGCATCAATCAGGATTATTCAGGAGCTTCATACATCTGTTCATGAACCTCCTGGATGCCTCAGGAGGTATCCAAGATGCCTCACATCTGGAGGAGAGGCAGGGCTTGCAGAAGGGATAAAATATCTTGTCTGATCTTGGAATACTTCAAAAAGGTATGTTTATCTATTGAAATGGTATCTGTATGTATAGCTTGTCACACAGTTCGTTGCTCCAGCTGGATTTAGAGTAGAGAAACCGAGAAATAACCAATAACTCCAGAGTTAAATGTGCAGGATGGTAAATAAAGATAAAGTTGTTAAAGGATGTAAAAACCATTGATAACTTCTAATAAAACAGAAAAAGTCCTCTATTTGACGTGATTTGAAGGAGTGTCTCTTTTTTTTGTTTGCTTTTCTTGATTTTTGCGTGCCTAATTCCTATCTTACAACACATCACACTTCCTCTGTCTTCTCAGATCACACCTTTCTGAGAGGGAAGTGTCTGCAGAGTGACATCTGTTGCAGGAAAACTATTACAGGTTCCGTTTTGATTCTGGTTTCTGCGTGGCCTACATACCAGGACATAAACAGAGGTTCCACACGTCTCTATAGTTATTTTCACGTGAAGATGCAGAAGCGCAGCCTCGGTTTCAGCCTCCTCTCAGCTCTGATGCTGCTCACCTGCATCCTGACATGTGTGCATGGATGTGACTTTGCTCAGCCGGTGTGCGGGGCTGAAGCTGAGGGGGACGTGGTGATTGGGATAATGTTACCGTGTCATCAGAAAGTGTCTGCTCCTCAGGAACGGATCAGACCTGAGAGCTTCCACTGCTCACAGTGAGTATGAGAACAAGTGATTTAGATATTTTAAATGACATTATGTGTGTGTCAAGGGTGACTTTTTTATAATTAACAGTCTACAGATGGGGTCATTTTGATAAACTGCTGAGTTTCTCCCGACAAAACCTTTTTTTTATCACATCTTAATGGTAACACTATTTTACATCACAGCTGGAAAGCACTTGACTGCAGTGTGAAGGGGCAATAAAGGCATCAAATAAGAATACTGCATTAAATTCAGACTATAATTGCATGAAGATAAGACTCTCACCTGCAGACACTGCTTTTCAAGAAACTGTCAGCATGCCGCTTATTAGTTCAGAGCAGATAAAATTGTCTGCGAGGTTAAAGAAAATGTTATTGGTGCTTTTATATTAAATTTCAGCTCAACTTTACAACAATATGTATGAACGCACAAACAGAAATCACCATGCACACTGTTGGAAAACTGGGTTTTATCCTCACAGAAGGACATTTCAAAGGGTAAAAAAACACTCTGGGCCTTGTTTGTGTTGAAGTCCCCTGCAATGAAAATGTAATGAGCTTCCTTACAGGCCGGTCATCTGAATCTGGGTTATGGTTCTTTTTCTACACTTTGGTACAGCACTTGATCAATAATGACTGCGTTTTTTTACCTTCATAGTTTTGATCTGGAGACGTTCATGTTATCTTTGGCTACAATCCATGAGATCGAGGAGGTAAACGCAGCAGGCTTCCTCCCTGGAGTGCGTCTTGGATATCTGATGTGTGACACGTGCTCATACGCCAGCAAAGCTCTGCAGAACGTGGAGCACATGCTTGCCATCAACTCGTCTCTGAATGTAAAGTGTGACTACACCGACTTCAGACCAAGAGTGAAGATTATTTTAGGAGCATTGTACTCGGAGGTGTCCATCGCTGTGGCCAGACTGCTGAATGTCTACATGGTCCCTCTGGTATGTCACTGCCAATGTCTGTGCAACTATTATTTCAGTCCTGATTATTGTTTATTCTCTGATGTTGATTTATAACCTGCTTCTTAGAAGTAATTCTGGGATTTTAGTCCCATAAAAAACAGCTGGGAAAGCAGGCAGGTCCACAGTAGGAAAATGTCTGGCGAAGCGATCCAGGGGAACTATGACACGATGGAGCACAGGGATTCCCTTTAATGCCTGAAACCAGAAATTATGGCCGGAAAATTCAAATTTTTTGGAGCTGAAATGTTTATTTCACTTGCGACTGAAAACCCCTCAAAAATTGAATATTCTTAAAATGTATCAAATATATTTATCTTATTTGATACATTAGATGTTTTTGAAAACTGATAAAACACAAGAGGACATTTTTATCATTTATCAGACTGTATTAAGGTGTTTTTTTCAGTAATTTGTTGATTGTATTGATTTGATAGAAGTATCATAAAAGTTTGTTTCAAATATGAAACAAACGCATTAAAGGGCAGGAAAAGACTGAATTTGTGGGACATGATAATTCAAGGTTAATGACACTCAGTCAATCATGAATCTGAGGATTAAGGTTGCTCACTTTAACATGTAAAGACTAATTTTGAGCAATATTTTCTGCAAAACTTAATTTTTAAATTTAGGGGGACCTTTTAGTGATATAATAAATCTTTGGATTGTACCTTTATTGTTGGAAATTCCATCTTTCAAACTAAGTATTTCATTTTATTAAAGCTCCTGTGAGTAGTTTTTAGCTGGTTGAAAAACAGACCAAAATTAATGCTGATGTCTAAAGAGGTCTTAAGAAAGCAATAAGAGACATCTACATAAAGACTGACCACGTCTACAGAATTGATTTAAATATGTGTTAAAAAAATTGGGGGGTAGGGGTCAGTCTGAGTAGTTTTTGCATGGCAAATATTTTAAATGTCCTGTATTTAAATGTTAAAAAAGTAAAATATGTCTTACTCAAAAACAGGGAATAACCGGTAGTAGTAATAAGAGGTACACTTTGTTCACAGGGGCACTGAAGGAGCTTTAAAATCAGTTTCTTATATTTTTCATTTGTGTATTTAAAGTTCTTTCTGTGTTATTTGATCTCATCACCAGCTGAGCAGCACATCATCTTCATCCGAACTGAGCGAAAAGACACGTTTCCCAGTTTTTCTTCGTACCATTCCCAGCGACATCCATCAGACCAAAGCTCTGGCTAAACTCATGCACCACTTTGACTGGAACTGGGTCGGGGTCGTGTACGGGGACGATGATTACGGCAGGGCAGCTTTCCAGAGCTTCCTCTGGGATGCCGACGCTAATGGCGTGTGCTTGGCCTACCAGGAAGAGCTGCCTAGTTTTCTCGGCCATTCAGAAAGCAAGCGGCGAATCAGACAGGTCGCCCAGCACATCCGCTCCTCCTCTGCACAGGTGGTCCTGTTGATCCTCAGAGCAGAGCTGGTCCATGCCATCTTTGAGGAGATGATCAGGACTAACACCTCCAGGACCTGGATCGCCAGTGACTCCTGGTCCAGCAGCTGGTATCTCGCCCACATGGACGGCATTAACAAGATTGGGGACATCCTAGGTTTCACTTTTGTCGCTGGAAAGACTGAATCTTTCGATAATTATCTCAAGAATCTAACAACACCTACTGCAGGACACAATCACTTCATCGAAAAATACAAAAACCTCAGATTCAACTGCACCCCGGAGTGTTTCTCCAGCCAACCTCCACCTCATTGCCCCCCTGATGACATCCTGAAAATCAAATCAGCTGTAGCATGCAACATCAACAATCCCCAAGAGCAAAATGATGACTACCTGGTGAACACTCTGGATACAACCAAGGCCTTCCCAAACAGGATAGCTGTGTGGGCTGTAGCACACGCTCTGAAAAAGCTCCTCAAGTGCAACACTTCCTCATGCTCAGGAGAGACAGACTTCCCACCGTGGCAGGTAGGAACAGATATTTGATTCCTCTATTTGTTTATTTTAGATGAACATACAGGTATTTGCAACATCTGAAACAGGTGACATAGGGTTAAACTTTAGGAGAACGTTTACTTGTTTGTTAAAGTCTGGGATGATTCCTGAGCTTTTGACATTTTCAACCACATCAATAGACTCATTTACTTTAACATTATCTATGCAAAGAAAAAACATGATGAAAATGTTGTTTTCAGAGTCAGTATCATATGAGAAGACCCAGATGTGACACACTCTAAAAACTCTTGGGTTATTTCTTCAACCCAGTTCCTGGGTTATACATGTTGAGTTACATTTCTGGGTTATTTTTCAGATCCATACCCATTTCTTGGGTAATATGGATTCTATTGTAACCCAATTTGAGTTTTTTTTTGAATGAGTCACAAATTATGGGTTATTTTTCTGAGAGTAACCCAATAATTGGGTCAGAACGTTGGGTTCGAGTGACTCTACGTGGTTTCTAGGCCTAATGGCAATTAAAGTGACCCGGTGACCTTGTCAACTTTGACCTTGATTTTGTATACAATATGATATATATATTTTATATATATATATATGTATATATATATCATATAAACTGGGGTGCCTCTGGGTAGTTACCCCAGCATATATTGGGTGGCTGGGGTAGTTCAGTGGGTAGAGCATCCAGTTCCCAACCGGGGAGTTGGAGTCTGAGTCCCACATGAGACATATCTGCAAGGAGCAACAAGTTGTAAATGCAAAGCTCCTTAAAACAGCTTCTCAAATGCATATATCAATTTAACCCAAGATCATGAGTCAAATTCACTCAAACATTGGGTTAACTTGACCTGTAAAAAGGGTTATTGAGTCAACCCAACATTCTGGGTCAAAATAACCCAATAAGTAGTCAGGCCCTTTTAAACCCTGGTGCTGTTAAAAAACTCTAAAAACTCTAAACTAAACACTCTAAAAACCCCTGTTTTTAGAGTGTACAGCTTGCTAGGTGTCAGTTAACTGATCAGCAGCAATCTTTTGTACTTGGATCTGAATCCAAACAGCTTTTGAGGCAGTGATTGATTTGTCTTAAGATGAAACATGAGTTGCTCTGTTTCAATTTTTTCCAGTTTTGAAGACAAAACTAGGAGAATAGCACTGGGTCTATGTTTACATGTCAAGTCTGATTTGACAATATCTATCTATGCATGTGTGTGAGTGTGTGTCATTACAGAAGAGTAAAGTGACCAGTCTCTTCAGATAGAGCATCAGTATTCATACACTTCCCATTTCTTTGCAGCTTCTTGAAGAACTGAAGAAAGTCAAGTTCCAGCTTGATGGCCAGGATTTCTTCTTTAATGAAAATGGGGATTTTGTAAACGGTTATGATTTGCTCATGTGGGAAGCAGATAGACACCACCGGGAAATAAGGATGATTGGGAAGTACCACATCCAGGGTGAACAAATAAAGCTCATCATGAAGAACTTAAACTGGGTTTCAACAGTCAACAACACGGTAAGATAACAGAGCTCACGGCATCCACTCAAAGAACCGATGGTGAAGTTAGCAAAAGTCAGAGTAGACCCTGTTCAAAGAGTTTAATACTGAATAATTAATACAGAAAGTCTGCAGAGAGAGTGAAGTCATATCGATGAGGAAAATAAATCACTCTTTCAAAAAGTCCTCTCACATGGGTGAACCACTAAACTCTTATTTTCACCTGTCTCAAAAAGAAAACCTATAATCAAGCAATTTTAATTTCCAAAATAAGAGTCCCACAGTTTTAAAGTGATGATAAAATTGTATGGCCTTGTATGGCCTCATGTAAAATAGATAGACAACATGAAAGTCCCACTATAGTAAAGCCAATATGATTGATCGATAACTCTGTTGACTGCGATAGCCTTAAAGGTCTACTGCACAACATGTTTAATGATGTAAACATTTTCCTTAGTGCACATTTCATTACATTCACAAAGAATTCACACAAAACTAAAATGCTGAATAATTCTTACATTTTGAGGATTTTTTTTTGCACTTTTTCAAATATTTATGTGCACAATTTCAAATTATGAAAATCGTTTTTATGCAGAAGTAATAATAATAGATATTGGGATTATTCATAAGTGACTATAGAGACAGAGAGAATGAAGTGCACTTTTTCTGCTTTCATTTATTTAGAGATCTTTTTTGCAGAGTTAAAAGTTTCTGTTTCATGTCTTGTTTTGTCCCCTCAGACTCCGTGGGCTCGATGCTCAGAGCACTGCGCCCCAGGTTCAGCAAAGAAGATCTTGAATGTCTCCTGCTGTTATAACTGCACCCTGTGTGTGGAGGGGACGTTCTCAGATGACTCGGGTATGAATGAGGGACATGTTGGTTTTAAGTGTGGCTTTAAATGAGAACAAACTTGAGACAACAAGGCCTCCTTGATACCACAACGTATCATATTGTACTGCATCCGATCATACTTTACTGTGTTATAGCAATCACATTATATGAAACTGTATCAAATTATATTTATATATTCATATAGCCACCTGAGAACAGCACCCTCTAGTGACAGGCTGCAGTATAGGTCATAAATCCCGCCTACGTCAGCCATCCTTATGGAGCTGTTTATTTGTTTATTACACAGAAGATAACCCCCCCCAAGTTTTCTATGATTGACACTTGATACCGCCTATAGCTCACCCGGGGAATACGCTGTTTTGAGCCAAGCGTCATCACAGCAACTCTCGCTTATATAATTCTTATTTTATTCTTCTGAGCACTTAGAGGACGTTTACATCTCATGTCACATTAACTCAGTCACACCAAGTTCACACACAGATGGAGAGGCTGCTATGTATAGACCCCATCAGCTTTGGACTAATTCCATTCACACACCACTGCACGTAGCCGGTGGGGGGCTGGTGAGGTCAAGTGTTTTGCCCAAGGATATGCTGTTCACACTTGGACCGGGGATCTTCCGTTGACCTTCCGATAAAGAGACAACCATCGTCGTGACCTGTTATATCATAATAATGCCTAAAACTGTATTGCATCCTATCACATCTTATTATATCATATAATGTCACATTGTATAGTCTCCAATCATATGGTTATGTATTGTAACACATCATGTAGTTATTTAGATTGTATTATATAGACTTTATTGCATGTGTGAGGAAATCAAAATTTCAGCAGCATCAGTGTGAACAGAATAAAAAAATCCAGAATGAAAATAAATAAAAAATAAAAATGCAATATATAAATAAAGAATAAAGATATAATAAAACTTAAGATAAATTACATATTTACATTAAAAAGTAGGATATAAAGCTATGGACATTTGCACATATTATTGTATCGCACTGTACTTTATCCCGCCTCCACAAACAAAGAAGTATCTTAAAGTTAATTTAAACTGAAAGAGACTTTTAATTTGGCACGGTCTTTATCTCACTCTCAGGGTACAGTTCCCTTGCATTTAACCCCCCTACATTTTCAGTTTTATATTTGTCTTCTATTTGATGAAACTGACTGTTTTTTAAATTTACTTTACTTCACTTTCTCCTCCAACAGATGTCAACGACTGCCAAGCGTGTCCCAATGGTACTTGGTCCATGAGAGGATGGACTCAATGCAAACCCAGATATGAGTCTTTCCTGCGGTGGAGTGACCCTCATCCTATCAGCATGTTGGTTGCCGCAGCCTTTGGTATTGTGCTCTTGTTCACGATCTTCGTCATCTTCTTGGTGAACAGAAATTCGGCTCCTATGAAGAAAGCAGAGGTGAGGCTGTCCTGTGTGATGATGGCTGGTCTGGCGGTCAGCTTTGCGAGCGTCATATGCTTCATAGGGCGGCCCAGTGTCCATCTCTGCCGGGCCAGCCAGCTGATGTATGCCATGGGCTTCACCCTGTGTGTGTCCTGCATCCTGGTCAAAGCTTACCGGATCTTCCTGGCGTTCCTCCCTTTTGGTCAGATCGTCAACAGGCGGCTGTACAAACTTTACAAACCGCCCGTCATCGTCATTGTCGTGACTTCTCTGCAGGGCATCATCTGCCTCCTTTGGCTGCTGTTTGACTCACCAGATGTTGATAACACTCCTCCATCACCACAAAGCATGAAGAGAGTAATCCAGTGCAGGGAAGGTTCTACATTCATTGGTTTTGGCGTGATGTTGGGCTACATCGCTCTGCTAGCGTTTGTCTGCTTCCTCTTGGCCTTCAAAAGCAGGAAGGTCCCTCAGGAGTACAGTGAAACCGGCTACATCATCTTCAGCATGCTGATGTATCTGTTTGTTTGGGTGTGTTTCATCCCCGTTTATATCACCAACAGTGAACAGGGGACTTCTGTGCAGGCTTCAGCCATCCTGGTTTCTACTTATGGTATCATCTTCTGCCATTTTTTACCAAAGTGCTACGAAGCCCTTTGGAAGGCAGAGGCAGATGCGGTGGAGAAGATTCTGAGGAAATGGGGGGTCATTTCCAGTCCAGACCAGAATTCAAACACAGAGACAGACAAAGATGTAGCTGGAGTGAACACAGTGTTTCAAAGGGACAACAGATTTTCCGTGACAAGTACAACAACCATACTGAGGAGTTCAGACATACTGAGCCCTGTTTCTGAGGTAGACATACTTCCGACATCCAACGAAAACATCCACCCACATCCTCAGCTGATCAGGCTAGGATCAAATGTAGTCAGGAGACGCAGAAGTGTATCGTGCTAGATCTGATTCAAATGTGTAGATTGCACTCCACTGATACTTTCTATTTTATACCCTTTCTTGGATATAATGTAAAATATTATTCTTTCATTTGGGTCAGATCCATGTATTATCCGTCCATTCAATTATTCCATTCAATCTAGTAAACGAAAAAATGAGTCAATATTTTGTGTATTTGTTTTTCTGTATAACCAAAAAATTTTAAAAAATGTTTGTTTTCTTTTTTTCGAAAACAAAAAGTAGATTTATTATTTTGTTTTCGTTTCCATCTCTATTATGTCTTCTGTTTTGAACTGAAAATATGAAAACAAACACTAATCTTTTATGTTTTGGTTACATAGAAAAACAAATAAACAAAACATTGACTCGTTTTTGTTTTTCGTTTACTAGATTGAATGGAATAATTGAATGAACGGATAATACATGGACCGGGTCAAAACAGTGGTTCATTTCAATACAAACAAACAATTCAGGTATTTTGACCTACTTTATCTCATACTTAAATAAATCAACTTTTGGTACTTTAGTAATCTGAGATCTGGGATTAGCTCATTGGGTTAGAGATAACTCCCACATTTCAACAGGCTGTTGACAACGGAAACTCACACGCCGTCACAAACAATAGATGCATTATGTCTCTGACTGTTCGTGTAAAAAATGTAACATGACTGACCAGAATGTCGGCTTACTGTCGTGACCTGAACCAGGAAGTTTAAACCGTTTCTGCTAAAGCTAACAATCAAACATCAGAGTTTGGAGGAAAATGAGCACAGAGTGCTGTAATCTGGGTAAATTACCGCATGTATATTTCCGGTAACCAAAGATGAGTCATGAGTGCGGTTTTAGCTCCTGTTGGTCAGTGTGACGAGTGTTTTTTATACTCCAGATTAGCGGTGTTGGCTGTAACTTGTGTAACAGTTTTAGAAGATACTGGGCTATTCTCAGCTGCTTCCCTGTTTAGCTTTTCTCTCAGGCTTCTTAGGAGAGTTATAAACCTCTGAAACGGACCACCCGAGGACAGGGTCTGCTTGTTTGTTGGACCACTGGGAATAAGCAGATTAAGACTAAAAATAAGTTAAAAACAAAACAGATCTACTCCAGACGGGGGTTCTCTCTGAGGCCACAGAAGCTAGACCTTTCTGTTTTTTTCATTTCACAGTTTGTTTTAAAGTCTAGGTGATTATTTTGAGTTGTTGCTGACAGTACAATCAGAAAAAAAGCAACCCTGTACTGTAATGTGATGGACGTGAGCTTAATCTTTGTTTATATGGTAAATTTTTTTACTTCTGTTATGTTCCTTAGACTGAGTGACAATGGCATCCCCCACTGAAAATAAATGGAGAGTTAACCAAAAACATAAGGCCATGGTGGTTACACTGCAAAACTTCAATAGTCAGGACTACGCCAATGTCATTTGGCCAATTCACCGAACTTTGAATTCAAGTTTTGTCTTGAATCTTTGTCTTATATTCGGGGTTAAGTGACTTATAGAGTCAGCCCTGTAGTAAACAACATTATATTGTTGTGTTTGTGTTTGTGATATTAGCTTTTAAAATGAGGATGGACCAAATAAAAGAAAATAAATAAGATTTGGGGAAAGTAAAGTTGTGAGAAAGAATTTATTTATGTAGCGTAAGGACTTTAATCTTGTTACGTCACTACCATTCTCATGATATTATGCTTTTTTATGGCTTTATTCTCATAACAATATGATTTTACTATTTGTCAGAATTGCATTTATCTGAAGATTTTAACTTTTTATGTGGCTCTAATACCTCTCTTTAAAAAATGGTATGCTCCGCAAAACTGACCAGATCCAGTCCCATCTGTAATGATTTTTGTACAATTTTTTGTGAATCGGTGTCGCTAAAGCTGTTTGCTGATTATGAATTTGTTGTCTGTTGACCGACCTGATCCCACACCTTTTCCCAACTCTCCCTTGCGCTCACTGTCCCATCAAAAAAACAACTCAAAAATTCAGGAACCTCAGAGCTGCACCAGCTAAAGGACACTAATTAAAGTAAAACCCAGCCTGTTAAGCTGTCACAGCTCCAGCAGATTAATCTCCTTCTGCCTTGTTGTCCAGCAGCTGGTCCCGTTCCTGACACTGACACACCTGAGCGAGGGTGACAAAGATTATAGACGTGTTGGAGACACATACACACAGTCAGGCTCAGGCACCTGTTGGAAACTCGGACAGGCTGACATTACCCTCCACCTGAGAGCACATGTTTTGTTTATCCAAACTCTGTACAATTATCTTCTGCTGTCCAATGTTCTCACAGTTTAAGAAGCTGAAATCCACTTAATGAGGCCCAGACTTCACTAAAATTCCTTTTTCCTGCTTTATGCTCAATAAACCCTGCAAACATTGAAAACGAATTGTTTAAGTGATCAATCAAAACTTTTCATTATGATTATTATGGCTGATACGCAGCATGGTTGACAAGGCTAATTAATTTACAACAACATGATTAATATTCAGTAATAGAAATATGCTGCAAAATTAGAAATTATACAAATTCATAAAAAATGCAAAAGTCTTAAACTGTAACTGTGACAACCCCCAGTGCCCTGCACATAAATTAACAATATAAATCAGAAATATGTGCATATTTAACTTTTTTGTTAGTATTTCACAAACTCCTCTTGTTGTTACTGCCAGCTTCTTTCAGTTAAGGCTGATGGTTGAAGTGCAGGTATATGTTCCTCTTTCTGGGTTTAGATGAAGATTATACATGCTTTTACAACAGGTCATCTTGACTATATAGTAGTTTTTTGTATGTGGGCTATGAGCAGTCACCTGTTTGGACTTGTTAGTGACAGTTCAAAATGTTTTACAAATTAAAATGTTTTCACTGATATATCTTTTTTTGGATCGTGTTTGTCTTGTTTTTCTTTTTATGACAATATTAAAAACCTAATCTGACCTTAGTTAACATATTCAGCCATTTCAGAAGCTTGTGATCATTTTCACTAAATGAAATATTATTGTCCAGTTTGACCCCCATGTTTACTTGGCTTTTGATAAAACCTAACTTTAACCATTATTTGAAATGGATGATGAGATGTAAATAAGTCTTTTGTGTTTATTATTAAAGTATATAAATTAATGTGTCATTCAAAATTTGTAATGGTTTTTGTTGTTTTTTTCCCCAAGTTGCAGTAATATGGTGTCATAAATTTTTTTAAACCACAATATCTGTGAGGGGAAAATGTGATTCTGTCACAGGAAGACAGACACACCTCACCTTCTGCTTGAAGTGGTGATCACCTGTTGTGTGAATTTTCAGAAAAACAGGTTTTCACCTCCAGCTAAAAAACTTCACAACTCAGCAGTGCAGAAGTTTATAAAAAATGGAATATCGCAGATTTAAAAAGCCTTTTCCAATGAGGCAAATCTAAATTCTGCTTGTAATTAAACAATAGACGGATCACATGTTTAATCCAAAGCCGCTATATAAACACAAAGGGGAAAGAGTAAAAATAGATGCTGTTAAATTTGACATGATCCTGTCATCCAATCAGTTAGTCCGTGTGCAGGTGTAGCTTGGCTAGAGGCTGGATGAACACCAAATGAGATATTTTTTTTATATTACTATGATAAAACGTGGACTAACCAAGTCTTAAATTCAAGGAGCAGATTCCCTTTGAAAAGTCAGAGGGGATTATCAAACTTGGGCCAGTCTTTTTGAGGCCTAAACTATCATTACGATATAATGGTATGTCAGCAAAGAAAAACAGAGAAAAGGGTCTTGCGTGAGAAAAGACAGACAATCATGATCTTGTTGTTGTTGCTGTTTTCTTCTTTTTTGTCAGAAAAATCTCAAAAGACCTGGCACTGAAGTGACACATTTACCTGGAGAACAATAGGATGGCCATGATGTGACACTCAAATCATCTCCTAGCTTCATTTTCCGAGTAGAGACACACAGTGATTCTTGACCTTTCTTGCACTCTAGACAGTCTTAAAAAACAAAGTTGTTTGTCTCTTCAGTGATCTCAACATGTAGATGTCAACTTCACCGACATGGCAGTGGATCACACTAAAAACACCACCTGACCAACTCGGCCCTGATTAACCTGATGAGCTTAAAGTCTTACAACCAAAAGCCTTCTCATATGTGTGTGGGTGTGCCTGTGTGCTCATGCCCTTAACCATCTGTGCATCCAAAAGAGAGTGAGAGGAAAGAGCCCCCTCCCTACTCCTCAATCTGTATTATCCTCTCAGGTCCTTACCATCGAAAGCCCTGGTAGTGATCACTCCACACGGTAGGTTGCAGGTGTCTTTCCCTGCCCGTTTGGACTACGATACTTGGAAGAGAAAGCATAAAATGTTTGAAAACTAGCACCACCGATGGACCGCAACTTTTGGGGGCTTACAGAAGACCTTGTGTGATCAGATAGAAAGATCTCTCCAATGGATTTGCACCCTGGGTTCTTCTAATTTGTCTCCAGCAACAGATACTGTTTGTTTTTCTTGTATGCAACCATGGGCTGCTCTCCATCTAAAGGGAAGTTATTTTCAAAGCCAAGTGGAGCTGAAAAGCCAGATGCTTCACCTGCTGAAGCACAACAGGATGGTGTTGATGTGAGACCAGACAAGGACGAGGACAAATGTTTGAAGACAGATGAAAAAGAAAATGAACCTCCACCACCCCAAGAGGGAAACTCTACAAAAGAGACGTCCAATTCTCCTCTGGCGTCCGTCACATCAGCCACTCAAAACATACAGAAGGTCAAAGAAGTCGAGGTGAATGAGTTGCCACGTATGATAGATGATGGGCGTGAACAAACAGCTAAGATTAAAAAAAATGAGAAAAGGAAAAAGAATAAAGGCAAGAGAAGGTCTGGCAGGAAGAAGTCCTTCACTATCCCAGCAAAAGTGGACTTCCCACCACAAATGGTGAGGGCTCACCAAGCAGCTTATGCCTTTCTGAACCCAAACATTGCCAAGTATGAGACCCTGCTGGGTCTGCTCGACCAGGCTGCCCAGACCCAGCTGTCCCTTCAGCCCATGATGTCCGCTCTCGTGTTGCGCTTCGAGGAGATCAACCAGGCTCTAGAGGAGATGGCTGAGGAGGGAGAGCAGATGTTAAAGGAGCATGGGGACAACATGGCCTTGCCCTCTGGAATGCTGGGCCCAGCTTTTATGCAAGCAAAATTCAGAAATACCATAGCAAGTCCACCTGAGCCACCTCTAGATCTGTTGCAGCAACTGCTCCAGCATTCAACAGAAAAAATGAGGCTCGTAGGGAACTCAGTACAGGCACTTGGTGATACCACTCTTGAGGAAGCAGTGGAGTACTTTTCATCTCTATCAAAACTGCTGTATGAGAAACTTCAGGCCAAGCAGACTACCGAACAGAGGCTGACTCAAGTGCTGACACTGGTAGAGGGGGCTGCTATGAGAAAGTTCAACCTCGAGGACACAGCACTGCACAGCGAGGACAGTGGTATAGGTGGAGAAAATGAGAGTCTACCTGGCTCTGAGAGACACCGTCACCACAGAGGGAGTGCTGGGTCTGGAAGTTGTGGGTCTGGAAATAATGTTCGCTGTGCAACTGACACCCAGCCTGGAATTTTGCCCAACCTGGAAGACGATGAAGAAGATGAAGATGATGATGAGGATGATGATGAAGAATATGAGGATGATGAAGTGGATGGGCCTCATAGGAAGAGGTCAAATTCTTCCCCACCAGATCCATGTCAAGCCCTTCTCTTCTTGCGTGCAAACTACATGCAAGATTGGCAGCCCCCTTGCAGACAACCTCTGGCTGTTCTTACTGCCATCAAAGCTGGAGATCCTTCATCAAACAAATGTGTGAACATTATGATGGAGCTGCAACGGAGCCAGAAGGACCTGGACCAGCAAATAATAAAGATGGCCCATTTCCGTGCATCCAAAGAGGCAGGGGGGTCTCATTGTAACCTTGCTGGCCCAAGAAGGCATTCAATAAGTGGAGCAGCAGGTGCGCAAAAAGGCCCTTTCAGAACAAATCAGTCAACTTGCTTCTTCCCAAGCTTGGCACCTAAACGCCCATCAGTCAAGAGGTTGATAAATACCTTCAGCCAAGGGGTTGATGGTAGATCAGGGCAGAGCCTTGCTAACTGTCCCCCTAATATCAGAAGGCCCAGGAGGAGTGAGATCCTTCAGTCATCTGACACAGGAAATGGTAATGAGGGGGGTTCAACAGTCAACGGGCACAGTAACAACACTGGCTGGTCTGAGACCAAGGATGACCTGGATGTAGACAACCTACCACCTCCACCCCCAGAGGTCCTGATGGATAATTCCTTCCAGAGTACTGAGGGTACTCCAGGTAATGGGGCAAAGACGCAGGAAGATTCAGTGAGAAGTCTCCCAGTGATAATTCAAAACACTGGAGTCTCCCAGCGCTTGAAAGCATCAGTACAGAACGTGGATGTGCTGCCTAACCGAGCCAGTGTGGGGCCTATTCGTCCCATCAGGCAAGATGCTCTTGGAGGAGCACAAGATGCAGAACAGCAACCAGAGGCTGATTTTGATCCAGAACTTGAGAAAGTGAATGCTCTGTACCAACAGGCACGCAAGATCATCCACCTACGCGATGCATCAGAAAGTGCTAACCAGAGGAATTTGGCAGAACGGAGTGTCAGAGGTCCTTCCCCCCTTCCAGCCAGAATGGGACAGAAATATGACAGCAATGAATGTTATGACAGTGATACGGTCTCCTCTAACTTACCTGTGACAGCACCACCTGTTTCTAGAGTACGTCTGCCACCATCCTGTCCCACAGTGTGCCAGAGGTATCCCACCCCTCCTGCAGCCAGACCTCAGGCAGCCTCCAGGTCCTCAACTCGCCCTTGCTCTCCAAGATTGGTGACTCGTGCCACAGATAAAAACACTGAGCAGATTGTTCCCTCTGTGTCTTTCCGTGATGCCCGTTCAGTTTTCTGTCTAAATGAGTCACAAAACACCTCCAACCCCAGAGCATGGGGGGAGGCCTCTCGAGGCAGGCTGAACACAAGAGGAATGGACAGCTCCAATCGTCGAACCCAGTCAGAGCAGAGGCCTGGTTCTGCATTTTCCAAAGATGGCATTTCAGCCTCCAGACGGGCCAGGGAGGAGTGACACCATTACAGAAAATTAGTGGTAAGTAACATCAGAAAGTTGGGGGTCCTAGTAAACCTCTCTGGATTTTGTCCCTGCAGCTGTAACTTACCAACACTTATCCCATTTTACATTTTGCACATCAGTATGGATGTCAAAAATTGACTCATCAGACATCACTTGAAGTCCAAGACCATTTTTGACTACACCCTCATGGCAGCCATTTTTCACTAAGGCCATGCCTAAGCGAGAAGCTCAAATGCTGGTTGAATGTTGCACAAATTTTAAATCTTTCAAATGTTACCTGTTTTCACTTCACCCTCTTCTGATTAATAAGAAACTTCAAAAACAGTGAATGGTAAAACTCTGCAGAGACTTTAGGCCATATTTCATCTTGAAACACAGAAGCAACCATTGCTACAGGAAGGCCAAAGTGTCTGTTTGATGAAAGCTTTTGGGAACATTCAATCACATCTTCCTTACTGAAAGGTTAGTCCCTGGCTATCATATGTGAACTTTTATCACTATTTAATTTGTCAGATACCCAACTTAACAGGACTTGGAAACCCAAAACATGGCAAGATGAGGTTGAATCGGCATTTTATTCACCCCCTCAATGTAAAATCACAGAAAGATGGATCAATTTAATTTGATCTATAAGATACCATTAGTCAGCTGAGGGACATAAATGTTGCCTATGCCAAATGCTACAAGGGAGCTGTTATTATGCAAACACTGACATTATGGTAATGACATTAGGTTTGAGTCCTTGTGATTGGATGTTGTCGTCAAAGTAATAGTACCCGGTATGGTTATTCTGACCTCTGATAGCTGTTGAGTTTGACTCAACACAGATGGTGTCTGACTCAACCAGCTGCCTGTCTGATGGCCATTTAGGTAAATGACATCATCTGACCATCTGTATTTACTGGACAGATCAGACACCATGTGCATGGGTCTACAAGTAACTGCAAAATCAACTTTGTAAAATGGAGCTCAACTTTTGTTGGAAAGCCTTTATGGCACTGGCTTTTTTTAAACCACAATTTTTTTAGTTAACAGTCCTCTGATGTCAGCTGGAAAAACTTTTGAAAAGGAGAGACAGCTTTGCAGTCAAAGTCCCAGTTCAGCAAACATTGGATGCACTCAAATGTATTTATTCCTCAAAAAATACAAATTTGAGAATGAGACATAAGATGGCATTCAGAGCGCCATGTCCGAGTCTTCTGTAAGATCAAATAGTTCTATCATAACCTAACACATAGCTGTCTAAGTTTACTGTAATTTAAAAAGTACTGTAATACTTTTCATTGCAACATAACTCAGTAGTTTTTGTGCTTTGGTAAAAACAGAAACACTTTGGTTGGTTCTATAAACCAAAATTACAGTGACCTTTTGTAACAAATCAAGGTTTTGGGGTAAAACAGAGCATGCACGTTGATCCTGGTTTCACACCCGACACGTGCAGAGGTATCTCGGGTGAAGAATCAGGTTTCTGGCAGAAAGCCCTAAAGGCTGCTGGGCACATGATACGTGCCAACACCAGCTGGTATGACTACAGTGATGGACACGAAAATGCTTTCGGGTTACAGGCTTAACTCAAAACAAAAATATGCTGGTGGAAATTTTCTGATGACTGAGGAGAAAAAGGAAAAATTTTGCCCATGCACTCAAGACTTAACTTGTTCATTATTGCATTTCACAATGAGAAATTTTGTTGGATGTAAACAAAGAATTACTAATAGTGTATTGATATTTATATTTATATCACATTTATATTTATATTTACATTAGGGGCAATAATGTCAGTGAATTCATATGAATGTTTAGTAAAGATTCTGTTGTATACTTTAAATGTGTAAAGGTTTGCAGGCATTATACAAGGCAGGGGTAGTGAGGTCGAATTTAATTAATGAACGAGGAAGAAAGCTCAGTGTACGAAAATGAAGAAAAAAAATCTGTGATAGCGGCAATTTCACAAACTAAGGTGTTCATTAAAAAATGGATCATATTTTGCAATTTGTCAAACAAGAGTAAAATTTAATCACAACAAAGTACATTACATTTTAACATGTCACAATACTGTAGCGTACACAACCACACATTATGGTATTATAAGATGCAATTAAACAGAACGCATTGTGATATGATATGATTTAGCCTGATACAATAGACTTTATAGTCCCTGTTGTGAAGTCGGAGAAGGATCTTGGAGCAGGATCTTCCAAGTGACAAATCATCAGACTCAATGTTTGAGGGACAGATCTGATGATTTTATAATGAGCAAAATGTTATGTTGCAGTTAATATCATAAAATAAGATACTAAACAAAAACATACCATGAAATACAATATGATACAGTGCAGGTGTAGTGGTGGCATCCACTGTCTCTAAATCAGACTGGCAGTTCAATCCCTACTCCCACAGTCACACGCTAAATTGTCCTTAAGCAAGACACATTACCATGAGGTATGATATGATATGGTACCACACAACAGGGTACAGTTCAGTACAGTACAGTACAGTATAGTACAGTACAGTACAAATATGATATGGTATGGTGCGATATGATGTGCTATATAATGCAATACCATCATGTAGGACACAATACAGTATAATTTCACTCCATACCATACATTATGATACCATGTGATTTGATCTGGTACCATACAACATCATATGATATTGGTACTCCAAAATGCCAAATTCAGATCATTTTGATTGGAACTATGGCTGCTATATGCTGGTCAAATCAGATTTCACAACATTTGGTTTCATAATGTTCTCACCTCTAAGCACCTGGGGAGTACTTACAGGGGAATCTGTTACCACCCACAGTCAAAGCTTTTTCAAACAGTTTTACCTCTAATTCAAAGTTACAGCCATGGTCCCCCACTGTATTCTGCTGGTTCATCCCCTGCCTCTACAGAAACCACCTGGTCTAATCCAGATTGGATTAGCCCTCCTATCCCACCTCTCTACCCTGCTGTTAAGTGAGCTCTTCAGCCTGCTACCCCATGTAATCCCCTCACGCACTGATACTCCTCTTTCTCCGATAGGTCCAGAGGCCCTCTGATGACGGGCGACGACAGCCAGTTGGACACAAATCTACCTGTGACTGCAGCCGAGGGCTCAGCTGCCATTGGTCGGAGCTCCTAAAGTGAACGCTACGGTGGGAAGGACATGCTGAAAGGGATTACGGATTAGCAGGATGGGAGTTTTAATCCCTGTCCTTTTTCTGCTCTTCCCTGATTGATGAGGTCTGTTCCAAATGTGGGTTAAGATACAATCATGTTATCAACTGAAGAGTATTTTAAGGTAATGAATTTTTTTGACGTCTTCGTTCATTGTCAGAATTTTTCTGTATCACTTTTAGATGTGAGTACTGAATCTATACTAATTCTTATTGTTTTAATCCACATTTGATATAAAAAACACACACTGAGATATTCTAATTTAACATAAATAAGCACACCTAAATCCCCCAAAATGTTCTTTTAGCTCAGAGTTACAAGAAAAATTTGGATTTTGGTGTGCTAGTGTTTGCCATACCAGTGCAAAATCATCATAATTAGCATTTGTGGGTTTTTTTATGTAACCAAAAAGGAAATTTAATGGTTTGTACTAGCTTTTCTTTTTGTGTTACCATTGTTTTCTACCTCCACCAATAAAAGGGAGCTATTGTTACTGTGTGTTAATTTGTACTTCTTTAATCTTTCAAGTTCCTCTTTCTTCAACCTAGTCTGTATTATCAATGAGTCCACCAAAAACTGAGCTATACCAAGAGGAAACTTGATTTGGTAATTCCTGAGGCTGCAGCTATGTAAGATGGACTGAGGGGAAGGGGACGGTGTCTGACCTATTGAAGTTTGACAACCTTAGCTCACAGTTCAAGTCCAGCATCCCTGATGGTAAGGAGATCATAAGTGTCCATGATGCGGAAAGGCTCAATTAATACTGAATGATATATCCAGGTTTTGGATTAACATATGCTGCCATACAGACAAGGACTTTTTCAGTAGACCTTCATATTTCAGCAAGAAAACGACAACATGGCTCTTTACATGCTACTTCATTAGACTGTACTTCATTTAATTTAGAATTATGACGATTTTTCGGGACAGTGTACTAGAGTTTAGCAACATATATTTCCAAAGATCCTGCAGTGGAGTAAGTAAAAACACAGATAATGTCAGAAAGTACTAAAGTACTTAACATTGGAACTCTGTTTTTCTGGTTAACACCCAGATAAGATGGCCTTAATGAAATCAGAGTGTTATTTTCTCTGTCTCATGTATCATTCCTGTCCCTGGGTGACTCCAGTAATACTAAAAGTGACTTAAATGCTCCCTGTGGAGCGTGCTGCGACCAGAAAACAGGATAATTAAGTCTTCAGGGGCTGCTGTAAAAATCTGTTGTCTAACTATAGGCTGTTTCAGAGACCAACTACAGGGCAGGTCTTCTTACTGTGTACACAGCACCAGGCTGTGTGTATAACCCTAACCCCTAACAGACCTCTAAACATACACTGTATAATGTGATGTTTTCCCTTAAGAACGTGGCCAGATACATGCAGTGCACTGATATTCCACCAGGGGGCAGAAAGCATGTCTCAAAGGACCCTGGCTTCAGAAATGAAGGTCGTCAGTCTGTGATCCACATAAGGTTGCCAGTTTTGGTTAAACTGAAGATAACAAATCCATTTTAAGTTTATTCACTAACATCTTTAATTTTAAAAAAATAACTGAAGTGAAGCAACATAGGTCAACCAAAGGATAATAAACATCCAAATGAACAGTCCCTCCAGTTAACTCCTAATTAATATGTATTTTTGGTGTTGTTGTTTTTAAATCAGCACATTTCTCATTTAACCTCTTAGTCGTTGTCTCCTTAACTTTTTGCTTGACAAAACTATAAATTGACACAAATAATAAGTCAGGGGAAGGTATTGTGGTCTGTTTCATATCATTTATGGATCAAATGTTTACTACTAATAACACCAACACAACATGAAAACCTCTCAGCAGCTTGAAAGTGTTTGTGTGTAGAAATGCTGCCATCTACTGCCTCAGATATCTGACAGGGCTCATTTTTATATTCACATTGTAAAACTTTATTCCTTGGCTTCAACTCGCAGTTAACTTGACGGTTTATTTCCTGTTAAAAATGCACATTTTATTTTATGTAATGCTCATAGTCAAGGTAATTTCACCAATTTAGAACAGTTAAATAATGATAAGTGATTATTTCTTTATTATGGACATTTTTGAACCAGGTTTTAATAAGAAAATATTTGTCCCTTCTATGGCAAATTCATTTCTTCAGGTGAACCCTGTTTACAACTTCTTGAACAAGGACACTTTAACCATTGTGTTAACCATCTAATGTAATTTGTAATTATTATTATTGAACCCAGCAGACCCGATTCTACAGGTTGGAAAGTGAAATGTTGTCCCATTCTTACTTAATATGGGATCTCAGCTGCACAGCAGTTGAATGTCTCTTTGTCATATTTTTCATTTTATGGTGTATAAATGTTTTAAATAGAGCTATGACACTGTAAAACATGCAGAACGCTGTTTGGCATTGTCTTGCTGAAATATGTCCTTGTTTGGATTTCAGAATATGTTGCACCTAAGCCTGAAAATATTTTTCAGCATTAAGGGACCCTTCACTGGTGTGCCATGAACACTCATGCATAACCCATAAGCTTAAGCTTTGTGCCGATAACAAGTCAGGTGGTCCTTCTTCTCATTAGAGTGGGGAAAACAGTGAACATGAACTCCAAAAAGAATATAAAACTGTCATTTGTATGACTGCAGGACAGTTTCTTTTACTTCACCTCAGTCCATCTTAGCTTATGACTGAAGAAGCTGTGAGCATTTCTGAATTATGTTTACATGGTTTCCTCTTTACCTTTAACCTGTATTTGTGGATGCCACAACAAACTGTGTTTAACGCACAGACTGTATAAACTAGTATGGACAACTTGGCTCCGCCTTTCGCTAGTATACAGATTTGAAGCAGAAAAGCTCTCGGTAATTCCGCATTTTTTCTCCACTTCCTGAAACCAACATTGCGCGGGAGTGTTGTATGCACTCCACCACTGGCGCAGTAGCATTGTGCACATTCGGTGGGAGAGTCGCGAAGAGTTGCTGTGATGACAATCAGCTGAAATTGCATATCACCATATACACATATACACCATATATACAGTGATAGCCCCCGCTTTCGTCTGTTGACTTGGCGGTTTGGGGTAGGCTAATCAAGGGCTTGCACTGGCCGGCGCATGTCGACCTGTCACATGTTCCCAGTCGAGTCTCCGAGCTCAATCTGTGTGTAAAAATTATGTGTGGGTAGGAAGTTTAATTACTCAGCTCACTTGGTATGCTATGCTGTCTATCTTTTAGACTATGTGTTTGTAGAGCAATTATTTTTGGAGGTTCAGTTAGGAATTAGAGTTGGTATGGTTACCTGTTAAAATAATAATAATAATAATAATAATAATAATAATAATAATAATAATAATACTAGTAATAATTTTGCTTGTTGAGAAGGACTAGGTGGTATTAGTAGGGAGGGAAAAGGGTGAAATTTATCTAAGGGAGTAAGATTAGGGTGTGTTAGTACAAAGTCTCTGAGGATGGGGAGAGGGAAACAGGTGGTCTGGACTGAAACCATTCTGCTTCTACAGGGATTCGAGTGATAGAGAGAGAAAAGAACTTGCCACAGTGACTAGCCAGAGAAACTCTCCTCTAATTTTGTTTTTCATCCTCTGATACGAAAAAAGAGGGTGGGGTGATTAAGTTAAGATAGAGGTTAGTAAGATTAGGGTTAGGGGTTAGGGTTAGATTTAGGGTTAGGGTTAGGGTTATGGTTGAGGCTAGGGTTAGGGTTAGGGTTAGGGTTATAGTTGAGGCTAGGGTTAGGGTTAGGGTTATGGTTGAGGCTAGGGTTAGGGTTAGGGTTGAGGCTAGGGTTAGGGTTAGGGTTAGGGTTATGGTTGAGGCTAGGGTTAGGGTTAGGGTTATGGTTGAGGCTAGGGTTAGGGTTAGGGTTGAGGCTAGGGTTAGGGTTAGGGTTAGGGTTATGGTTGAGGCTAGGGTTAGGGTTAGGGTTATGGTTGAGGCTAGGGTTAGGGTTAGGGTTAGGGTTATGGTTGAGGCTAGGGTTAGGGTTAGGGTTAGGGTTGAGGCTAGGGTTAGGGTTAGGGTTAGGGTTATGGTTGAGGCTAGGGTTAGGGTTAGGGTTAGGGTTATGGTTGAGGCTATGGTTAGGGTTAGGGTTGAGACTAGGGTTAGGGTTAGGGTTATAGTTGAGGCTAGGGTTAGGGTTAGGGTTAGGGTTAGGGTTATGGTTGAGGCTAGGGTTAGGGTTAGGGTTATAGTTGAGGCTAGGGTTAGGGTTAGGGTTATGGTTGAGGCTAGGGTTAGGGTTAGGGTTAGGGTTATGGTTGAGGCTAGGGTTAGGGTTAGGGTTAGGGTTATGGTTGAGGCTAGGGTTAGGGTTAGGGTTGAGGACTAGGGTTAGGGTTAGGGTTATGGTTGAGGCTAGGGTTAGGGTTAGGGTTAGGGTTAGGGTTATGGTTGAGGCTAGGGTTAGGGTTAGGGTTAGGGTTGAGGCTAAGGTTAGGGTTAGGGTTAGGGTTGAGACTAGGGTTAGGGTTAGGGTTATGGTTGAGGCTAGGGTTAGGGTTAGGGTTAGGGTTATGGTTGAGGCTAGGGTTAGGGTTAGGGTTATGGTTGAGGCTAGGGTTAGGGTTAGGGTTAGGGTTGAGGCTAGGGTTAGGGTTAGGGTTATGGTTGAGGCTAGGGTTAGGGTTAGGGTTAGGGTTGAGACTAGGGTTAGGGTTAGGGTTAGGGTTATAGTTGAGGCTAGGGTTAGGGTTAGGGTTATGGTTGAGGCTAGGGTTAGGGTTAGGGTTGAGGCTAGGGTTAGGGTTAGGGTTAGGGTTATGGTTGAGGCTAGGGTTAGGGTTAGGGTTAGGGTTGAGGCTAGGGTTAGGGTTAGGGTTATGGTTGAGGCTAGGGTTAGGGTTAGGGTTATGGTTGAGGCTAGGGTTAGGGTTAGGGTTGAGGGTAGAGGCTAGGGTTAGGGTTAGGGTTAGGGTTAGGGTTAGGGTTATGGTTGAGGCTAGGGTTAGGGTTAGGGTTATGGTTGAGGCTAGGGTTAGGGTTAGGGTTAGGGTTATAGTTGAGGCTAGGGTTAGGGTTAGGGTTATGGTTGAGGCTAGGGTTAGGGTTAGGGTTAGGGTTATGGTTGAGGCTAGGGTTAGGGTTAGGTTTAGGGTTAGGGTTATGGTTGAGGCTATGGTTAGGGTTAGGGTTGAGACTAGGGTTAGGGTTAGGGTTGAGACTAGGGTTAGGGTTAGGGTTATAGTTGAGGCTAGGGTTAGGGTTAGGGTTAGGGTTAGGGTTATGGTTGAGGCTAGGGTTAGGGTTAGGGTTAGGGTTGAGGCTAAGGTTAGGGTTAGGGTTATGGTTGAGACTAGGGTTAGGGTTAGGGTTATAGTTGAGGCTAGGGTTAGGGTTAGGGTTATGGTTTAGGCTAGGGTTAGGGTTATGGTTGAGGCTAGGGTTAGGGTTAGGGTTAGGGTTGAGGCTAGGGTTAGGGTTAGGGTTATGGTTGAGGCTAGGGTTAGGGTTAGGGTTAGGGTTGAGACTAGGGTTAGGGTTAGGGTTAGGGTTAGGGTTGAGGCTAAGGTTAGGGTTAGGGTTATGGTTGAGGCTAGGGTTAGGGTTAGGGTTGAGGCTAGGGTTAGGGTTAGGGTTAGGGATATGGTTGAGGCTAGGGTTAGGGTTAGGGTTGAGGCTAGGGTTAGGGTTAGGGTTATGGTTGAGGCTAGGGTTAGGGTTAGGGTTATGGTTGAGGCTAGGGTTAGGGTTAGGGTTAGGGTTGAGGCTAGGGTTAGGGTTAGGGTTAGGGTTATGGTTGAGGCTAGGGTTAGGGTTAGGGTTAGGGTGGTTAGGGCTAGGGTTAGGGTTAGGGTTAGGGTTATGGTTGAGGCTAGGGTTAGGGTTAGGGTTAGGGTTATGGTTGAGGCTAGGGTTAGGGTTAGGGTTATGGTTGAGGCTATGGTTAGGGTTAGGGTTGAGACTAGGGTTAGGGTTAGGGTTGAGACTAGGGTTAGGGTTAGGGTTATAGTTGAGGCTAGGGTTAGGGTTAGGGTTAGGGTTAGGGTTAGGGTTATGGTTGAGGCTAGGGTTAGGGTTAGGGTTGAGGCTAAGGTTAGGGTTAGGGTTAGGGTTGAGACTAGGGTTAGGGTTAGGGTTATAGTTGAGGCTAGGGTTAGGGTTAGGGTTATGGTTGAGGCTAGGGTTAGGGTTAGGGTTATGGTTGAGGCTAGGGTTAGGGTTAGGGTTAGGGTTAGGGTTGAGGCTAGGGTTAGGGTTAGGGTTAGGGTTATGGTTGAGGCTAGGGTTAGGGTTAGGGTTGAGACTAGGGTTAGGGTTAGGGTAAGGGTTGAGACTAGGGTTAGGGTTAGGGTTAGGGTTAAAGTTGAGGCTAGGGTTAGGGTTAGGGTTATGGTTGAGGCTAGGGTTAGGGTTAGGGTTGAGGCTAGGGTTAGGGTTAGGGTTATGGTTGAGGCTAGGGTTAGGGTTAGGGTTGAGGCTAAGGTTAGGTTTAGGGTTTTGGTTGAGGCTAGGGTTAGGGTTAGGGTTAGGGTTAGGGTTATGGTTGAGGCTAGGGTTAGGGTTAGGGTTATGGTTGAGGCTAGGGTTAGGGTTAGGGTTAGGGTTAGGGTTGAGGCTAGGGTTAGGGTTAGGGTTATGGTTGAGGCTAGGGTTAGGGTTAGGGTTATGGTTGAGGCTAGGGTTAGGGTTAGGGTTATGGTTGAGGCTAGGGTTAGGGTTAGGGTTAGGGTTGAGGCTAGGGTTAGGGTTAGGGTTGAGGCTAGGGTTAGGGTTAGGGTTAGGGTTAGGGTTATAGTTGAGGCTAGGGTTAGGGTTAGGGTTAGGGTTAGGGTTATGGTTGAGGCTAGGGTTAGGGTTAGGGTTGAGGCTAAGGTTAGGGTTAGGGTTAGGGTTGAGACTAGGGTTAGGGTTAGGGTTATAGTTGAGGCTAGGGTTAGGGTTAGGGTTATGGTTGAGGCTAGGGTTAGGGTTAGGGTTATGGTTGAGGCTAGGGTTAGGGTTAGGGTTAGGGTTAGGGTTGAGGCTAGGGTTAGGGTTATGGTTGAGGCTAGGGTTAGGGTTAGGGTTAGGGTTGAGACTAGGGTTAGGGTTAGGGTTAAAGTTGAGGCTAGGGTTAGGGTTAGGGTTATGGTTGAGGCTAGGGTTAGGGTTAGGGTTGAGGCTAGGGTTAGGGTTAGGCTTAGGGTTATGGTTGAGGCTAGGGTTAGGGTTAGGGTTGAGACTAGGGTTAGGGTTAGGGTTGAGACTAGGGTTAGGGTTAGGGTTAGGGTTAAAGTTGAGGCTAGGGTTAGGGTTAGGGTTATGGTTGAGGCTAGGGTTAGGGTTAGGGTTGAGTCTAGGGTTAGGGTTAGGGTTATGGTTGAGGCTAGGGTTAGGGTTAGGGTTAGGGTTGAGGCTAGGGTTAGGGTTAGGGTTATAGTTGAGGCTAGGGTTAGGGTTAGGTTTAGGGTTTTGGTTGAGGCTAGGGTTAGGGTTAGGGTTAGGGTTATGGTTGAGGCTAGGGTTAGGGTTAGGGTTATGGTTGAGGCTAGGGTTAGGGTTAGAGTTAGGGTTAGGGTTGAGGCTAGGGTTAGGGTTAGGGTTATGGTTGAGGCTAGGGTTAGGGTTAGGGTTAGGGTTATGGTTGAGGCTAGGGTTAGGGTTAGGGTTAGGGTTATGGTTGAGGCTAGGGTTAGGGTTAGGGTTGAGGCTAGGGTTAGGGTTAGGGTTGAGGCTAGGGTTAGGGTTAGGGTTATAGTTGAGGCTAGGGTTAGGGTTAGGGTTAGGGTTAGGGTTAGGGTTATGGTTGAGGCTAGGGTTAGGGTTAGGGTTGAGGCTAAGGTTAGGGTTAGGGTTGAGGCTAGGGTTAGGGTTATAGTTGAGGCTAGGGTTAGGGTTAGGGTTATGGTTGAGGCTAGGGTTAGGGTTAGGGTTATGGTTGAGGCTAGGGTTAGGGTTAGGGTTAGGGTTAGGGTTGAGGCTAGGGTTAGGGTTATGGTTGAGGCTAGGGTTAGGGTTAGGGTTGAGACTAGGGTTAGGGTTAGGGTTAGGGTTAAAGTTGAGGCTAGGGTTAGGGTTAGGGTTATGGTTGAGGCTAGGGTTAGGGTTAGGGTTGAGGCTAGGGTTAGGGTTAGGGTTAGGGTTATGGTTATGGTTGAGGCTAGGGTTAGGGTTAGGGTTATGGTTGAGGCTAGGGTTAGGGTTAGGGTTAGGGTTGAGGCTAGGGTTAGGGTTAGGGTTAGGGTTGAGGCTAGGGTTAGGGTTAGGGTTATAGTTGAGGCTAGGGTTAGGGTTATTGTTGAGGCTAGGGTTAGGGTTAGGCTTATGGTTGAGGCCAGGGTTAGGGTTAGGGTTAGGGTTGAGGCTAGGGTTAGGGCTAGGGTTAGGGTCAGGGTTATGGTTGAGGCTAGGGTTCGGGTTAGGGTTAGGGTTATGGTTGAGGCTAGTGTTAGGGTTATGGTTGAGGCTAGGGTTAGGGTTAGGGTTATGTTTGAGGCTAGGGTTAGGGTTATGGTTGAGGCTAGGGTTAGGGTTAGGGTTATGTTTGAGGCTAGGGTTAGGGTTAGGTTTATGGTTGAGGCTAGGGTTAGGGTTAGGGTTAGGGTTATGGTTGAGGCTAGGGTTAGGGTTAGGGTTAGGGTTGAGGCTAGGGTTAGGGTTAGGGTTATGGTTTGGGCTAGGGTTAGGGTTGAGGCTAGGGTAAGGGTTAGGGTTAAGGTTAGGGTTATGGTTGAGGCTAGGGTTAGGGTTAGGGTTATAGTTGAGGCAAGGGTTAGGGTTAGGGTTATGGTTGAGGCTAGGGTTAGGGTTAGGGTTAGGGTTATGGTTGAGGCTAGGGTTAGGGTTAGGGTTATGGTTGAGGCTAGGGTTAGGGTTAGGGTTATGGTTGAGGCTAGGGTTAGGGTTAGGGTTAGGGTTGAGGAATGGGTTAGGGTTAGGGTTATGGTTGAGGCTAGGGTTAGGGTTAGGGTTAGGGGTATGGTTGAGGCTAGGGTTAGGGTTAGGGTTATAGTTGAGGTTAGGGTTAGGGTTAGGGTTATGGTTGAGGCTAGGGTTAGGGTTAGGGTTAGGGTTATGGTTGAGGTTAGGGTTAGGGTTATGGTTGAAGCTAGCGTTAGGGTTAGGGTTGAGGCTAGGGTTAGGGTTAGGGTTGAGGCTAGGGTTAGGGTTAGGGTTTAGGCTAGGGTTAGGGTTAGGGTTATGGTTGAGGCTAGGGTTAGGGTTAGGGTTAGGGTTATGGTTGAGGCTAGGGTTAGGGTTAGGGTTATTGAGGCTAGGGTTAGGGTTAGGGTTAGGGTTAGGGTTATGGTTGAGGCTAGGGTTAGGGTTAGGGTAAGGGTTAGGGTTGAGGCTAGGGTTAGGGTTATGGTTAGGGTTATGGTTAGGGTTATGGTTGAGGCTAGGGTTAGGGTTATAGTTGAGGCTAGGGTTAGGGTTAGGGTTATGGTTGAGGCTAGGGTTAGGGTAAGGGTTAGGGTTGAGGCTAGGGTTAGGGTTAGGGTTAGGGTTAGGGTTATGGTTGAGGCTAGGGTTAGGGTTAGGGTTATACTTGAGGCTAGGGTTAGGGTTAGGGTTATGGTTGAGGCTAGGGTTAGGTTTAGGGTTAGGGTTGAGGCTAGGGTTAGGGTTAGGGTTAGGGTTAGGGTTATGGTTGAGGCTAGGGTTAGGGTTAGGGTTATACTTGAGGCTAGGGTTAGGGTTAGGGTTATGGTTGAGGCTAGGGTTAGGGTTAGGGTTAGGGTTGAGGGTTAGGGTTAGGGTTGAGGCTAGGGTTAGGGTTAGGGTTATAGTTGAGGCTAGGGTTAGGGTTAGGGTTATGGTTAAGGCTAGGGTTAGGGTTAGGGTTATTGTTGAGGCTAGGGTTAGGGTTAGGCTTATGGTTGAGGCTAGGGTTAGGGTTAGGGTTAGGGTTGAGGCTAGGGTTAGGGCTAGGGTTAGGGTCAGGGTTATGGTTGAGGTTAGGGTTCGGGTTAGGGTTAGGGTTATGGTTGAGGCTAGGGTTAGGGTTATGGTTGAGGCTAGGGTTAGGGTTAGGGTTATGTTTGAGGCTAGGGTTAGGGTTAGGGTTATGGTTGAGGCTAGGGTTAGGGTTACAGTTGTGGTTGAAGCTAAGGTTAGGGTTAGGGTTATGGTTGAGGCTAGGGTTAGGGTTAGGGTTAGGGTTGATGCTCGTTTTAGGGTTAGGATTCTGGTTGAGGCTAGGGTTAGGGTTAGGGTTAGGGTTATGGTTGAGGCTAGGGTTAGGGTTAGGTTTATGTGTGGGTAAGAGATACAGTGATAGCCCCCGCTTTCGTCTGTTTACTTGGCGGTTTGGGGTAGGCTAATCAAGGGCTTGCACTGGCCGGCGCATGTCGACCTGTCACATGTTCCCAGTCGAGTCTCCGAGCTCAATCTGTGTGTAAAAATTATAAAAAGAGGGTGGGGTGATTAAGTTAAGATAGAGGTTAATAAGGTTAGGGTTAGGGTTAGGGGTCAGGGTTAGATTTAGGATTTAGAGGTTAGGGTTAGGGTTAGGGTTAGATTTAGGGTTTAGGGGTTAGGGTTAGGGTTAGGGTAAGGGTTAGGGTTAGATTTAGGGCTTAGAGGTTAGGGTTAGGGTAAGGGTTAGGGTTAGATTTAGGGGTTAGGGTAAGGGTTAGGGGTTAGGGGTAGATTTAGGGTTTAGAGGTTAGGGTCAGGGTTGGGGTTCGGGGTTAGGGTTTGATTTAGGTTCTAGAGGTTAGGGTTAGGGTGAGGGTGATGGTTAGGGTTAGTGCCTGTAGGGAGCTAACCATGGCTATTTGGAAGAATTGAAATTCATCAAGGAATATGACACTTCAGATTGTCTAGACTCAGGACCCTTTGCTCTGTTAAAGGTAGCAAAGCTATGGTTGAAAGTAATGAAAATGCAGTATAAAATATATAAGGTTAGTTACAAATTGTTATTGATAAAGTATTATTTCAGAGTCAAAAGTGGATGGTCCTGTCTAGAACTCTCTTCCACTCAGGCCTGTGTAGGCCAAAGACTCTGCGGGTTAGGATTAGGGTTAGGGTTCAGGTTAGGCCTAGGAGATGCAGAAGTGCAATAATGCTCTGTAATGTTCTGTTCGATGTACAGAGCTGACAGCCCACATTTGGCTTGAGCGTGTGATGATGTTTCCAGCTTTTCTAGCCAGTCAGAGGCGAGGAGGTGGGACTTTCCCCTACCCTCCTACAAAAAAACATATTGCCTCTCGGGTGAGCTACGCGATCTTCGTACACCCATAGGCTGTATCAAGTCTCACAGTGTCATAGAAAACATGAACCCCCTGATAACTTTTAAAATTTTCTTCTGCTTTGTGCCGATAATAATTTTTCTGTACAGAAAAAAGAGGACTTGAGCACAAACCAGTCTCACAGTAAATACATGTCAACATCACAAGCAGGGGGGAGAAAAATGTATATTCTGTGTAATAAATTTCCAAAGTTTGTCCACAGCTCTATAAGTTTTGCAGGCGGAGGCGGGATTTATGACCTATACTGCAGCCCGTCACCAGAGGGTGCTGTTCTCGGAGTGGCTTCACCCATAGAGGAGGCAGACTCTGTCCATTCTCCATACAGTCTATGGTTTAGAGATGAGGGTTTCAAATCCAATCAGTGATTCCCACTGCAGAGTCTTGGCTGTTTTAAATGCAGCGCTGCCTGAGGGCTTGCAGCTCAAGGCTGACCAGTATTGATTTTGGTCCTCAACCCTTTTGGACAGTTTCTCCACATTCTCTGAGTCTTTTAATGTTATTACTGTAGAAATCTTTTTTTCTCTTTCTGGCTGTTTTTCTTAAAAGTTCAACTCTGAATCACATTTTCTTCATTTTCTTTCTCATCCAGACACAGTTTGCTTTTTTATCTATTCAATGAACTCACTGTTGGGTGTGGGCATCCAACGATAAATGTGAGTGTGAAAAGTTTTTTTTTCTCTCTTACTGTTTGTCTTCTTCATGGAGTCTGTGCTAAGGATCACTGAATAAATGATGGTTGACTCTCAGCATGAAGCTGCATATGTGTGTGCTTCGCTCTCATGAAATGAAGCAGAGCCTCACTCTGACATCTGCTTTAAAAGACCGCGGTTCCTCTGATTCTCCACATGAACCTCCTAACAGATTAATGAGCTGCTTTGTTGTTCACAGCTCCTTCAGTCCTCCTACCTGACGAGTGTGTGAGATGAAAAGCAAAGAGAGAAACAGGAGCATGCAGCTGTAAGTGCTGCTGCTGATCTAATCAGACTGTGGAGTGAGATACCAAAAGCAGATCCAGAGCTCACCGTGTGGTCAGAGGATGATGTCAGAGTAAATACTGTAAACCTGTTACCTACATGAATAGGACATGATGTACACTTGAATATTTAAAGAAGCATGTTCATATATCAAAAGATTTATTCAAGTACTTTATCGTAGTTCTGGATCAGTATGTTTGTGATCATCAGCCTCAAAGTTTACAGATCTAAATAATCGTTCTCACACTTTTATGGGATCAAACTCAACTACAAACAACAATTCTAAGTGGATTTCTATTTTTAGTCGTTTTTGCACGATCTATTTGTCCCCCTGAGGGCAGGATGAAGAATGTGAACGTGACAAAGTACATGGTGTACAAACATAGACTGTATATAGAATGGACAGCGTCTGTCTCCTTGCTGTGTGAAGCCCCCCTGAGAACAGTACCCACTGGTGACGGGCTGCAGTATAGGTCATAAATCCCGCCTCCTCCAGCAATCCCTATGGAGCTGTGGACAAACTTTAGACATTTATTATACAGAACATACATTTTTCTCCCCACTGCTTGCGATGTTGACATGTAGTTACTGTCAGACTGGTTTGTGTTCAAGTCCTCTTTTTTTCTGTACAGCTCAATTTTTACCCGGGGGATACGCTCTTTGAGCCGAGTGTCATCACAGCGACTCTCGGCGACTCACCTGCCAGATGGTGGAAGGCAGAACAAAGTTGTCCATAATATACAGTCTACAGAGCTGCCAAGCATCACTCTTTAAGTGCGAGAGTCACGCAATTTGACCCATTCTCACACCACACGCCACACTTGACATTTCTCACACTGATATTCCCCCATTGCATGGAGGTGAGGACATCAGTCTTAAGGTATAAATCCTCGTTAAAAAAGTTTAACAATTTTTCGCCGCCAGCCGAACACATCATAACGTTAAAGTCTCACTCTTATAATTTTCTACAACTTGGCAGCCATACAGTCTATGTGTGCAAGTAATGCAACCCTATAAGATTCTTGAACTTTAAGACTTCTTTCATGTTTTCTTTCTTTCTTAAAGGATCAATATATTACATCTCAACTTATTTATCTAATATACCATCAACAGTTTATGCCCAATACTCTCCAGAACTCTTGACAGTTAACTACTGCTAGGATACTCTTCTGATGTAGGTTTTTTTTTACAGAAACTGTACAAAGACATCACTCATTCATAACAGTTTCTAATGAGAGTAAGTTCAACATCATTATTTTACTGTTGATGGAAAATCTGACCCTTATGATCCAGAAAGTAATGATTAATCCTGGGTTTGTAAATTAGATTTTAATCTTAGAGATTAAGAAAAGCATCTTTTGCATCTTTAATTTCCTTTTTTTCTTTGGACTCTTTTGTTTTAATTTTTTTTTTTTTACACAGTCATTAATCCAAGTTTGAGTTGTAACCGTTTACTCACAGCTCATCAGGGGCCAGAGGAAACAGCCCACCACCTCCACCCCCTCTCTCTCTGGAGGATTGATTTCACTTCATAAATCGAGTGAACACTCAGTTCATATCAACAAACAAAGCTTTCAATGCTGCAGGCTGTTATCAGCATCATGGGAATTCAATCAGCTAGAGATAGTGACTTTTTTTACAACATTTATTTCGCTGAGAATACTCTGAATTTTGATTTTAGGATATAAAAATGTGTTTGTTAATAATCTCTGACTTTGTTTTGAATCCTTGACATGACCTCTTTAAAAAGTAGGCTCCTCAGTCAGTGTGTGCAGGTTACTTATTTATACATGCACGTACACAGATGTGTCAATTATTCATAGATGTTTATTATTGACTATGTACCATATGTTCTCACATGTGCGCACATGATCCTCGAAGGATGTTGCAATACAGGAAAGAAACTTATTATTGGAAATAAATTAATCAAATGATGATTACAGAAGTAGAGTAGATGATGAAAGCTTTGAGTTACGAGGAAAGCCAACGCTAATAAGTTTACTTGAGTTGACTGTGCTTTATGTTGTCATGTGAGACATGCAGTTTAACATGGGTCTGTCTGTGTGACAAATAGCTGAGGATTTATTCATTGGACATGGAGGAGGCAGCTGAAGGATGAGCCAGTGATTGATCACTTGGATCGTTATGAAGAGTTTATCACTGCAGTCGCTCCGCTCTAATGAGAAACGTCCACCCGACAAACAAATAAAGATGATTAACACCGGGCTCAGCTTCATACACTAACATCCTCAAAACATCAGGGGGGCTCTAAATTTCTGTCTGTGCAGGGGAACTGCAAATCAGATCTTGGGGTCAAACATACTAAAGTATTAATTCTTTCCTTCCAGCTTCTCCATGTGGAGGTCAGGTTTAGAGGCTTTAGGAAGATATTTCTGGCTTAAAGAGAATTAAAAGACTCAGTTTCTGTAGTGAAATTTATAACTTTACCCTCAGACGCAGGAGACTTAGGAGACTCCGATAACTTTAACTGAGATAGTTTATGTAAAACATGATTAATAAAAATAACGCAGGGTGGCCGACAAGGGCAAACGATATGAACAGCCTGAACAATCTTCAAGAGAAACACACCACAAATGCAGAAAGACACAACCTCAAAACGGCTTGTAAAAGTCCAAAACAAACAGGACAGAGGAAACCTGAAGCAAATTAATGCCCCTCAACAGATGTTTCTTGACAGCAGGAACTTTATCCTAGAACTAAGGACCTTTTGAGGAACCAAGTGCGTCTGTTATGCAGGAACTCTCGGGTCTTAAATTAGTTGATTCACCCCTAAAGTAGCTGCGTTTACATGGGCACAAATCTTCGGAATAAATGCTTGATCGGAATAAAAATGCGTCATGTAAACATGTCGATCAGAAGATTCTGATCCAATTCAGCTCAATCGGAAAGAAATTGTATTCCAATCGAGAGGGGTGGATTATGTCGTTATTCCGAAACGCGTCCATGTAAACACTTATTACTCTTCACTCTTTATTTGTTGAGGCCAGTACAGGAGGTTTCATTATTAACACTCTTGCATAAAACACAACCGTATGTGCCGTGTCTACTCCTCTGGTAACATAACAAGGTGTACATACAGCGTAATGACGTCACATCTGCACGCGCAGTGCAACCTTTGACAGAACAGTAAAATAAGTATGTAAGGGCGCCATCTAGTGACAACATTTAACATGGGGAAAACTCCTGAACTGGATGGAGTAAGGCACTACCGCGTTTGTTGGTTTGTTGACAGCACAGGCGTAAATACAACTCTTCTTCTGCGTTTTTTTTAGTAAAATCAGACAAGTCTGCGTATGTCCAAATGCTTCTAATCTGAACGAAACTTGGTGCATATATACGCACGTCATGATCGGATTATTTATTTCGTACCCTTATAAACAGTGGATTCAGATTATTGGATCCCTCAAATTTTTAATCAGATCAAGAAGTTTTGCACATGTAAACGCAGCTAGTGCCCCTTATCAATGGGACAGTACTTTCTAATGGCCTCTTGACTTTGAAGGGCAGGGTCTAAAAGCTCATTGAATCAGCATCTGAACTTTTTGAAAACACAGCAGTTTGGAGGCTTTACTTTCTACACTTTACCATGAGAGAGTAGCCAAAATTTGGTGTAAGCTCATGGTATTGTCCACCCCTAAAAAAAATCAGTGCCCCAGTTTGGCCACCCCAGTGACAAGCTCCTGGTTCTGCCATCGCAGAGTAATCTTAAAGTGGATTTAACAGATAGGAAGTCTAAAACTCACATCTTTGAAAATACTGAGTTTCTATCACAGCTTCTGATATTTAAAAAGGAGGCTACTCTCGACACAAACTGGAGCTGAGTGGAGTCTAAATGACTCATCTTCCTAGTATAAACAAACACTTCCAGCGGACTAGCTCTGATCTTTAAGACTTGTTTTAAGATGATCATTACAGATCACGTTGCAGACTTTACAGCCTGTTTTACTGCTGCAGGCTAAAGAAATCTACAAAAATCTTCAAACATCTTTATTACAACACAAACTGTGCATACTGAAAAGGGAGGAAAGTACACTTGTTTCTTTTCAGTACAAACATCCAAAACCACAATGTCACCCGGGTTTAATTAACACTTCTCACAACACTGTTATTGTGAGAACAACACTGGACTCAAACAGATCTCTGTTTTTTAACTAGTTTTGGTTTTAAATATATTTAAGGTTCATAAAAAACTAAAATGAACTAACAGTCGTGTTTTCATCACAGTAGAGGATCTTCACTTTTGGGGATCAAATTACCTTGAAAATAATCTGCGAATAGGGGAGTGTTTTTAGCAGATTTTATCAAAAGTTAATTTCCTCCTGTTGGGAAACTTAAAGAAACATCACCTTTATGCTGCTTTTCACCACAGCAGCAGATGTTTTGCAGAGGATCCTTGTCTCTGTGTTTGATATAAACTTGATATCATATGTAATATTCATGACGCCCTCCTCTCTGTTTCTGTGGGGGTTGAAATATAAAGCTGGAGTGTATGAAGTGAGAAGGTACGGCGGCTGAGAGGCTGGCACTGCTCTACAACAAAACATACCCCGGATTAAAAATAACAAGCTGACATGGACGAGTGTCATTGTTCAGCTGCATTCAGAGCACAACAAAGGATGGAGGTAGAGACAGGATGGCTCTTGATCTAATTGGACCGTGATGATTAAATCCTGAATGTAATTATGATAATTACGATCCACTTTCAGACACTTCATGGCATGACTGCTGGCAGGGATTCAAACTGAAATACATCATACAGACTGACTTCAACCTGTGCTGAATAATGAACAAAATAAACTATCAATGACATTCTTTGCATTTTAAAATTAAATATTTAACACTTTCCCATGAGATGATATTCTTCTATTGTGTTTCTTATATGTGCGTTTGCTTTGCTTTACTTTAGCAAACACCCTGACCTATTAGCCTTAATATTACATTGGTTTAATATACTTTAGGGTTGTCTGATGTTTTAAATGAGTTTATTTACTCATTTATTTGTTTAGGTTTTTATCTATAATGCAGATTTTTGTCCTGTTTTATTATTCTGTCTGGATTTTTAGTGTTCTATCCTTTGGTGTTTTATTCTCCCATCTTGTATTTTCTATGGTATGTTTTATTTGCTTATTTATTTAGATTTGACTGTTTTTTTAATATTATTTATTATGGCATTTAATTAATTTATTTATGTTCTCAATCTGCTATTTTGAATTTTAAAATTTCAATTAATTTATCATTATTTTTATTGTATATTTGTTGTGCTGCCCCAGAAGTAGTTTGTTGTATTTTATTATTATTATTATTATTATTATTTTATGAATTGATTTTATTTGTGGTCTGCTTGTCTTAAACCTTTCATGACTCAGGGTTTTGAATGGTTTTAATAGTTGAGCTACATCTCATTGTATGAAAAGTGCTGCACAAATAAAGTCTGATAATTGATCATTAATCTGTCTTTTGTGGCCTAAATAAATCCACTGTTTCTGTGTAAGGCCATCTCTTTATCGCTACCAAAGTGGCTGTTGGAGTCTCCACAAAACACAATTTCTCCTTCGCTCAGAGATCTTGAATGATGTCCAACAAATTAGTTAAGAAGTCCTTACCATGACCATCTCTCAACTTAACTAAGAACTTTTGTTGCTTCAATTAAAACCAAACTTTTTGAGCGTAATATATATTCACATGCATGTGGAGAAAAAGAGGAAAATGGTGTCTCTTTGTGGACTCTTTGCATTCATAAACTGACCTTTCAGGAGGTACCTGGTTCAGAGAAGGTCAAAGCTAAAATATTGAGTTCAGTATGTCCTGTGAGGATGCAGCTCCAGACACAAAGTGACCGTCTCTTTGAAGAATCACCGCACTTGTTGACACTTTAGATAGACTCACAATTCTGAGGACACACGGAGCTGCTGCATTGTTTTTTTTTTTGCCGTCTCATGCTGGTTCACAGGTCTGCCTGCTGCAGCCATTTATTCAGGTATTCAATGTGAGTCCAGGACACATGGCGAGCGCTGGAAGTTCGGTGCAGCCTCCGAGGTAAAAAGATTAAAGATAGCACTTTGAAAAGGTCAGTCTGACCGAGATATCTGCTCTGATCAGCCCTGAGTGAGTCTTCATCTGCATAAAGCTAAAAATAGAAAACTCGTGCAGAGAGCGAAGAGGCTGAGCTCTCGGGGGACCGGCTACTCTGGAGGAAAGGTGAAAGACAAGGTGTTAGTTTTGTATCCTCTCTGCTACACAACACAGATCCTGTCAGGTTATTTAAGTACTCAGACTCTCAAGATTTACGGTCGTCTAGGAAACCTTTCAAAGATGTAAGAACCTAAATTTGAAATCTGGGTGTATGGGTTTGTTTTTGATTGTTCAAAGAGTCAGAAGAGCAGATTTTACCTGGATACAGCAGGTTAGAGTAGAACAGGTGTGAGCAGACTTAAAGCATTTCTCCACAGTGCTGTAGGCCAGTCTGTGCCCTTTAATTCAAAGAGCATTTAAGAATGAAGGCCTGCTCTCCTGAGCTGGATCAGTGCATGTGCAGTCTGATTTTTTTCCTACTGATGCCTGCAGGCGTAAATTGCAAAGCTCTTTATTTGATATTACCACTTGTAATTATAGTTGTCATTAGTCACAATGGCTGCAGGTAAACTAATTATGTTAAAGACCCACTCTGATGAAAATCGTGTTTTTCTTGTCTTTTATGTGTGCATATGGCATTTTTCTGATGCTACAGGACGTATCATGAGAAAACTAAAAGCGAAATTGCTTTTCTGAGTATTTCTCTGGCAGACCCAAACGGCAGGTTCAGAAACAGAGAGATGTCATACGTAATGTAACCAATCCAAGCTCCGCCCCCTGAGCCTTGCTATGCAGGCCACACTTTTAAAAGTAGAGGGAACGTTAGTGGATTGCAAGCTTGTGAAAAAGCTAATTATGATATCAGCTTTCATCGTGTCCCTAAAGACATTAGTGTCCGAGAGCTAAATAGTTGCTATGTTACCTGCTACTTTTACTACACCGGCAATGTTAGGCCGCAAGCTAACATGAAGATGAGTGTGCAGAGCAGCGCTGTCTCCGCCCACGACTAATGATCTACTGGAGCTCTGCAAAAGAAAAGCCCTTAAAAATGACACAGGTGATGCTATTTTGGTAAAAATGTTATAATCACAATTTTAAGACCACTGACAACACTTAAAGTAGTAAAAAAAGACAGTCAGAGTGGGACTTTTATAATATGTTTATGATAAGATAACATCAGGTAAAGGGAAATATTTTGTCTTGTGCAATCTCCCTCTTCCTTTGCAGCCGTCTATTTGCTCTTCTCTCTACTCAGCTCATGTCAGTGTGTGAACTAATCTACAACAACTGTAGCATCCAAAAGAACTTCTATATCAGAATCAAATCATTCATGAAATGTAGCCCTGGCGTATCAATCAAACACAGGATGTTAGGCCTGCATGCTTGGGGCGGACTAGTCGAAGAAACTAAAAAGTCGCTGATGGCGAAATCCTAACCCAGATTTTTTTAGGGAGTCATTGCAGAGAAGCTCATACATGAGAGATGTGCTCTTTTTTCCAAGGTCTTGTCAGTACAAGAGCTGCAGGATTTTGGACCAATTTAAGAGTCTTCAGAGACTTTTCATAACAAATGCATGGACTAGTTTTTCTGTGTCCTCCTGTGACAGACAGCGTTTGATATTTGGGGTATATAAAAAAGCGTGTCCTTAAAGTTTGTTGTGAGTAGGGGATAAAGGGTGGATCATGATGAATTAGTGCTCACAGATTCCCAATAGAGGTGCTAAATGCCTGACGGATGGTGGGTCTTTATTCAGCAAAGGTAGAAGTTAAGTGGAGTTCATCTATAGAAGTAAGAAAGGTTGTAAGAGTAATTTTAATGCTACTTGTAAACAAAACCTGAAGGATGTGTCTGCTTCATTTGATTCCTATTAAACTGGTGGAAACACTAAAACTGTTTCGCCCTTTAGACAGTAAATTAAGCTGTTTAGCAAAGGGCAGCATGAGAAATGGAGCAGCATGGCTGTTTGAGAGAATAATTGCAGTTTACTGGAGAAAGTGTAATTATAAGTGTTAAAGATTTTTGGATAATTGCTCCGTCTCACAACATGCTGTTCCCCACAGAGAGACCCAGTCCACCCGTTTAGCCCTGAGGGGGGTTAACAAGCATTGTTAGCAGAGAAGTTTGAAAGCGGTTTACACCCATGATGGCTGGTTTTGTGCCTGATCCCCCCGCTTCTGATGAAAGTCAGCAGTGAAAGTCAGTGTAAGGGATGTTTAGAGGGAAACAGCCAGGGTCACCCTATACAAAATCATAAATATTAATCAGAGCGGAAGCACTTTAGTCCAGGACTTGGACAGGAATCAGAGGACTCATTTCACAATTTGGACTCGAGCAGGGACTGCATCAGGACTGAGAAAACGGAGAGGAGGATCTGTACTTTATCATTGATTTTCAGTGTCAATGTTTTTGTATATAAAGCCTTGATAGCTCATTCTGTGCAGAGAGAGGGCGGGCACGTGTTTTCACCCGATGTGCGTTCAGGTGTCTTTTTGTTCAGCCAGAGTTACTGCAGGGATAAAGAGACACTGTGAATCATGGATTTGCTTTCAAAGCTCTTTACAGAACTGAAGGCGAGAGCAGAGCAAAACATTGGCTGTATATAAAAGAACCATCAAGGACAAGACAGCAGTAAGTTAAAACTTAAACAGAGAGTTTGGAAAGAGGGACACTTAAGTTTTCTGGACTGTTAATGACATTTCTGTTTGCAAGCTGAAGATATCCTTGGCCTCTAATAAGATTCAACCACTTGGTCCAAGATATTCAAGATAAAATTCTGATTAATGCACGATTCAAGAGTCACTTTCTTGGATGGATTTACTAGGGGTGGGAGAATAAAACGATACAGCATAGTATCGAAATATTTTGTCTAGTGATATATCGTATCATCTCATTTACCAAGTATCGACTTTTCAAATTAATTGCTAATATGAAGTCAAATCTATGATAATGGAAAAATAAAATCAACTGTTTGTCCAGTGAGGTTTGCAGGAGAAAGTTAGTACAGCAAATATATATATAAGGTTTGCAAGGTGTGCTACATGAAAATAAAATACTGTGTTAAAGGCATGGTTGAAGATCGGAGAGATTGGTAGTTATTATGAACCTCGTTTATATGGAGATTGTGGTCCTATAGTGCGATCTCCACAAAGTGAAGAGAAAACAGAATGGAAAAAATCTGTACACCCTAGCAGGTGCAGGGCTGCAAAAACATTGACCAATGAGAGCCATCCATCCCGGACAGCTCCTATTGGTCAATCTCCTGCTCCGCCTCTCCATCCAATCACTTCAACAAATGCCTCTGCTTGCCCTACCGCCAAAAGTGCTAAGAAAACGCAAGCTGGCGGAAGAAAGGGCAGAGACGAAGAGGAAATGTGACCAAGCGAGAAATCTAACTCGAATAAACATTGGGTCATCCTTCGAGCGGTGGAGAAAGTTTCGCCAGGATTTGGGCCTGAAAACAGAGTTTTTGTTGAACAGGTAATTTTTGCCTTTTATTGTGGCACATGTTACATAAATAACTCTTAATAGTCTCATCAATGTCAACACTGTAGCTGTCCAGGCAGCTGCAGATGGCGCTCGCTAGCAGAGCTGGCGTTTACTGCCGCGAGTCACTAGCAATCCGACATGGTGAATCCTATTTGAAGCTAACGTAGGATCTTCTGCCGGCCGGCTCAGTTGTTTTCAACTGCTTCTCAGATCGTCAACCATGCCTTCAATAAGACAAACATAAAGAAAAGCCAAATCCTAAATTAGCGTAACAGTTGAAAAAATTGTATAAATTGCAATACTCACTGTATTGCAAAATGCTAAAAATCGCAATAATATTGTATTGTAGCCCAAGTATCATGGTAATATCGTATTTTGGGGCCATTAGTAATTCCCATCCCTAGGATTTACATATATTTCTATCATTCCGGTTGCATGTATTTTCAAGGTTTTTGGACACCTGCAGTCATCCCACTGCAGCAGATGATCAGTGCACCCCTTCACTAAAAGAAGTATTGTGTGCATATGCATGACACACTTTAACTCTATGATAATTTCAATCAGACAGGACCTGTCAAAACCTTGTGTTTATAAAAGACATGTCACAGTCAATAAGGATTCAGGCGGTCAGACTGAAAGAGCTCCTCTGTTTGTACTAAGAAATAATATCAGTAATGACGAGTCACCTTGGGCTCAAAAGCTAACTGCTACCACAATGGATGTATAATGATGATGGATGAACCAGTTAGTGTGTTGTGTTCTGTGTTGGCTTTACACATTACACTCTCAGAACCAAAGTGTTAAATCTGTCTATATTAGTCGTCATGTGTGAGGTTTCTGTTGGCATTTTAAAGATCTTTAGTGTGCGCCAGGATTTCGATGTTACTCCCAAGTAGACTCCCTTCTCTTAAAAGCTTGTTTTCCATTTATTTTAAAGAAGTATGTCAGCCCTGTGTTTTAGGCTGCATAATGTAATTTATTAGGCCAGAAAGCTCTGAGAGATTTTCCATTAAGTGGGTCCTTTAATTAACAGTTTCTTCAATCTGCTGCTTTCAAGGAATAAGCTGCTCATTTGTGAGCTTTTGCAAACAAACTCTGAGCCGCTGCAATACCAGTGAAGTGGCAGAAAAACGAAACTGTAACAAGGGCAATCAACCTGCAAAAGCCTAGATGAATAACAAATGGAGAAATACCATGCAAAAATTCAAAACAAATGCAAAGACAAACAGCAAAAGGAACACACTGCTACACCGCCGGTCACCATGCTGGACTAATTTGAAGTCCTCAGCCACAGAATAAAGTCTATCTGCATCAATCAGCGACTCCGCTTCTAATTCAGTCTCCCACCTTGCCGTGTTACCTGTCTGCAGAGCTGACGGTAATGACTGCGAGTGTGTGTTGGTCGGGACCAGCTGTGTTTCTCAGGGGAAGCTAATGAAATCTTTATTAAGGACATACTCAGTGAGCGGCCGCCGGGGGCTAATTACCCACAGTCCTCCACCAGAGGAGAAGCGGCAGCAAGAGAAAGACTCATGGATGAATAAATAATCGCAGGCTAATGTTCACAGAGGTTCAGGAGGAGCTCATTTAGAAACCGCCGATGAAATGTGCTGCTCTTTTTGAAGAGCGCTAACCTGGAGGGCAGAGCTGCCCTTCATGAGGTGGACTGGATTAATGATGGAGATTCAGAGCATGGTGTCAGGCATCTCAAAGAGCCTGTTTCTACAACCTCTACCTCTTTCTTCCTCTCTCATGTCTTTGCTTTATTCAACTCTTTTAACTTTCCCGCATTCTGAGGAAGTCAGGGTGACTCCACATGTCCTCCAGTCCTGTCGCAGCATGGGGCAGCGATGGAGCAGCAATTAGCACCTTATGAAGAAACAGAAGAAAGTGTGCGGTCAGCATGGTGCACTGAATGTGCATGTCAGAGTTGCAGCAGATTTGAATTCACATGTTCAGCCTCAGGAAACACTTGTGCTTTTTCTGTTAAAATAAACTCTCTGAAGTTGTGAATATATATATATATATTCACAACTTCAGAGAGTTTATTTTAACTATATATATATATATATATATATATATATATACATACATACATATGAATATATATATATATATATATATATATATATATTCACATACATATGTATGTGTGTATATATATATATATATATATATATATATATATATATGGGTCATTTCATGAAACTGGTGCCTTT